CTAAAATGATGTGATTCGAATTTTGAATTCTGTCACGTTTCAATTCGAAACACAGTCAAAATGCTTGCTTTTTGTTTGTCTGGCTGTCTGTCTATTTCTCTTTGCCGCTTTCCATTTCGATACCAAATCAAATCCATGTAAATATAAACTATTCACGTGAGGCAGATACGGATTTAAAAGTTAATCGTTTAGAATTTTATGCGATATGAATCATAAATAGATAAAATCAATTTGATGTATGACATATTTGAACATAACTCCTGTGACTACGGTTTCCGATGCAAAAAAAAAGCATTTTCATAATTTGATATAAATGACGAGGATGACACACGAAATCAATGCTCGATTACACAAAAATTGTACCGGCATTCCGAAAAAGAGACTAAGAAAGTGGGAAAAAGCACACACACACTCCAACCATTTCATAAATCTTCGATCCAAAAAAGGGAAACAATAGGTCGTTTGAAATTCAAACAACGACTTCGGCCCATTCGCTCGTAACTGGTTACACATTCTTCGGTCCTCTCACATTACATTGATGCACGGATTCATTGAAAATGTTAATTGTCACGTTTAATTACCATATTCAAATGCTTTGATGGTTTACCGAATTTTATAAATGACATCACAAAGAACACAATAAATATAATTCAATTTAAATTAATTTGATACTTTACTCTGATTCGTTTCCGTCACATTGACAGATTGCCGTGTACGCCTGTGCTGTGCTTTGTTTTTTCACTGTGTTAACAAGCTCCCAATGAATCTGATCAATCATCAGATGCAAGAAATTAAAGACTGTGTTGTGTCACATACACCACTCCATTCAGTTCAATCGTGCCAAATAAATATTTGGTTTGTTTAAATTGAAATTGATGGAGTTGCCAACAGTGACTTTGATTTTGTTATCATATAACAAATTATTCAATTCATTCTTATTTACTTTTTGTCTCTCTCTGTGTGTCTCTTTCACTGTGTCATTGCGTCTCTGTCGCTTGCTCTTCCCAAAACGGTTGTTGTCGTAGTTGTATCGTTATCTAATTTTGTGTCCATTTGTCGATTTATGCATAGAACAAAATTTCGTTCAATGTATTGAATGTCAAAATTATTATCACTGTCCGTATGGATTCGTTTGGCTGCATTGCACATCATTCGGTCCGTCAAATATCAAACGTAAATTTCATTTGCCACGTGAATTGGAGCACACAAAATACGCACACATCACGACGATTTCAGTTCATTACGAGAATAACATTTGAATACACGCTACATTTTATACGGAAGCAGTCGCATCAATTTTCAAACAAAATATCGCGTTTCATTTTTATTTTGGCGGTAAGTTTTTTTGTTGATGGTGAGATTTTTTTTTTCGGGCACATTAATTCAAATTAATTAATAGATTTTCCATTTAAAAAACGGTTTGGTATATCAACTCAATACTATTGAGTGTAAACATTTCAACGGTGTAACTGTGTAAAGTGATTGAAAATTCTCAATTAATTAAATCACATTTGAGAGCATAATGAGTTAAAAACTTTAGTGACGAATAAAACTATGGCTGTAAGCTTAAATTGAACATAAAATGGTTAAACTTATCGTTGATGTGATTTTGTAATCAAAGCGGAAAAAAGATTGATTCACTTTAATGGATAAATAAAGATGGAATGACTTTGTTTAATTTAAAAAGTTTTTCCCATCCGAACCAGGGCTCAATTTCATAAACAGTCGCGGCCCTGTCCATTGGAATTCTTATCAATAACATGAAATATTCTCAAAAGGTGGGAATGTCAGGAGAAAAAATCACGGTTATTCCCATTTTTTTTAAAGAATACACTCATATTCCGAGAATTCTGATTTCTCAACTAGTTTGTGAAATTGCGCCCCGAAAGCAATGCTGGTAACCGTTTTATGATTATGCCAATAATAAAAATCAGAATAAATAAGAATGCACTTGAGTTTTACTTCGATTTCGCCAAATGGAAAACCCATCGTTTCAATTTGATTCATTATTTTCCTTTATTTTCGTCGTTGATTCACTCAATTCATATGGTTGCTTTGGTTGGCTTTTATAATTTTTCCATACTAGACAAAGTTGTCTGATGAAAAACAGGCACGAAGCTAATTATTTTTTTCTTTTTTGCTTTTTTCATCTATTTATCTGTTAATGACAATGAATTTGTTTGTGTGTTGATAAGAATGTGTCCTATTTTTTGAGAACACATTTCAGCTCTTGAGCGATAAAAACTACGTTTATTTTATTTTTTTGCTAGTCATATTTATCTCCAATTACAAACAATTCACTTTTCGCTTCAATGTCAACGATGATATTACGATAGTTCAATTATTCTGATCAACTCTAGGTAGAGACTCGTGAACTTATTGTGAACTGAAAACAATTAACTTAAAATTGTTTATTAAATGTTTTTTTATATGCATTCTTAAAAAAGTTTTCTTCCTCCAGCGATAACGGAAACTCAATTAAAAATTAAATTGTTTCTTTGTGCAACCAGCGTTATAATCACGATGTATTCATAAAATGATAAATGGATTAAGTAATTACTGTTTATATTAGAATACAATAATGTTGCATTGTGCAAAGTTGAGCGAATATTGATAATTAAATATGACATTGATACATATTCCCTTCATAGTTTGATAGAGAAGTGAGAGTGAATCGTAAAGAAAATGTTTAAAATGTGACACAAATTTATTTCGGTTACTTACTTGAGTTTAATTTCAATGAGATTCCCAAAAATTATAGAGGTTACATCTGGAATCTTATGAAAAGAATCCACAACAAAAAAAAAACATATCTGTCATGGCACGAGAAAAATAGTAACTATTCTGTAAATATTGCTGCGTCGATGGGTCGAGGTGAAAAATGTCGTTTAATTAAGCCAATCATCACAGATGTGTCATTTATTTACATTAGATGTGTATTTACCTTTCGTTACATGCCCTAAAATTGAATTTGTATATCTCTCTCACCTTCCCGAAAAATGATTCGACATGACATAAAAAAGTAACAACAAATATGCCAAGTATTTTAAACATCTGTTTAAATCGCAACTAAGCGACAATTTATATTTAATAACACACATATCAGTAATTAATTAGCGACTGGCTGACTTTTACTTTTGTTGGGGGCTAAAGGCAATTAAATACGTGCCAAAATTGTGAGCGCAGACAGATTGTGAATTCAGTTCTTCCTGAGATTCCACACAAGGAACACCTTTCTGATAATTCGAACAAAAAGAAAGTTGACAATAGAAAAAACGAGTTTGATAGAAAAATGAAGTCAATTTCCATTTGTGTTGTGCTTTCCGTGATTTTGGTACCGTTGGCATTTTGTACACCGTTACCACAGTCACCATCGTCATCATCATCGTCATTGTCGCCATCATTATTGTTGGCCCAATTGGCACAGGGAGCCCCACAACTGGCACAAGGAGCCAGTCAACCACCTCAAGTACCTAACGGCCAATCTGCACCAATGACCGCTCAATCGGTGAACACTGGCATTAATTTTACGCAACAATTTATGCAATTGCTCAGCATGTTATTCAACAATTTCAATACAATTGTACCAAGATTTGTGAATTTATTCACTGGACAAAATCCGGCCGCTGCAGGTGTGCCAGGTCAATCGATTCCATCAATGCCTGGTCTACCGTCACTTACAGCGATGCAAGCGCAAAGTTTCAACCCTTTAAATTCACCCGAAAAATTTAACAATGCACCCGTCACACCCAGAGACACCGAACTTGGTGACAACGATATCATCAACGATGGCGTCGACATCTTATCAGCAATTTAAATCAATTCAATGATTGCATCACCATTTGTTCGACATTATTATCATATTTTGCACGGGTATTGGCTAAATAAGTAATTTAATTGCAAAAATAAACAAATAAATAAATTTAGAATTTATGTGACTTGATTCCGAAATTCCATTGAAACAATAAGCTTTAAATAGATTTTATATTAAATTAAATCTTCCTGTTATTTCATCATCGTTTTTTACTTGCCATGCTGGAAACAGGATAAAAAGAGAGAGACAGAAAAATAAATATACAATTAAAATGGTTGAAATTTATGGAATGATCTTTAATGAGATACAATGATGTAGAAACAAAGTATATTACAGCAATTTGTAATAATTTCAGTGCGACTGACAAATGAGCTTGTACGTAATATCATTAACAGCAACAGCATAAGTTTAAAAAGACGTCAATTGTTTTGTGGTCGACGTTTTTGCAATCCGATTTGATTTGCTATTGAGCTGAATGGCGAGAAAGGAGCTTTGTTAAAAAGAGATTATCGACAAACGGAACCCTTATTATTGCACACCCATAATGCCATGATAATTGGAATACGGGGCCTCTCTTCTTCTGGGCTTTATTTTATTATGAAAATATAATACAATATTAATGAACAAACTTTTCGCTAAAACTTGTCGTCTGCACAAATTGATACAATTCTTAATGCCATCGTTAATGAAGTGGAATTCCTCTGCTAGTTTTAATTAGGTTTACGCAGAGATTTGTTTTTTTTTTTTTTTTTTTTTCGGTTACAGAAAATTCTATAGCAAAACTTAAACCCAATTCTTGAGTCTTCCCGAACCTAATGTTTGCATTAACGTGCGTGACTTACGATAAACATAAATAATTTTAAAAATGAACAACAAGAAAAAAACTCAATTTTCCTTTATGTATTGCACATTGTATACTTGTATCCTTGCGCTTGCTCTTGTTCAAGTAGTTCACAAATAGTTTCCTACACCAAATGGAAAACGATTGAGAGAGATGGGGGCGGCAGACAGAGATAGAGACACAAAATTACAAAGGACTGCATCAACTTTGTGTGCACGCTGAACACGATGCACAGTACATAACATAGGAGAGAAGCTAATAGGTCAGTTTTTCTTAGATAAAAACATCACGTTTGCTGGTTCGTTCGTTTTTTCTTCTTCAATTTTTCAAATGGCAGTACACTGAAGTAAAAGAAAAAAGGCTTTGTGTTGAATGTATATACAGATACAGTGACACTGGCAATCACAATACGTTCGAACATGGTGAAGATATATAAAAAATGTACATTTAGTCGACCACTGCCAGCAGCATATTTTTGATCTCTTGCATTTTTCCGTGCCCTTTTTTTCACCATTGATGACATTAACATACCAAAACCCAAGAAAAAATCAACAACAATATAGTTTTGTGTTACAAGAAAGAAAAAAGAATGCGTGTAAAAATCTCATTCATTTTGGAATGTGATTATCTGCAGTACGCAGAACGTTGTCCATTTCGAAAGTTGCAAGTTTCAATGCAGAAATAAAAACAAATGTAAAAAATGGTTTTTATTTTTAAAAAGAGCGACCGAAGAAAAAACACACAGAAACGATCAGCGATGAAAATAAGTAAAAATATGTGGCATGCAAATCGAATTGGTAAATAACTAAGATTATTTTTACAATACACTGGCCAAGAAAATGAATCATTCGCTATCTTAGCTGCATTTTCCTTCGAGTCTATGGATATAGAATTAATTGTGTAATGAATTATATAAGAATGGTGTACACCTCTGAAATCTAATCTGGTTCATAGTAATTTATTGTTATATGTACAATGTACATATTAAATGTTATGGATATAGATTTATATGCAAATAGTATATCGTGCAGCGGCAAGCTTTTGTGATTAAAATAGTTTCTATTATCGTTTTGAGGAATGCCGATGAAATTAATTGTTTATTATTTATAATTAAAAGATGACAAGAATAAATTTGTTATCACCGAATTGGTTTCGGGTCATTCAGTAAATTCAATATTCTAACTTTTTTGGACTTAACATTTGTTTTAACCATGAAATCAAGTGCGAACTTATTTTATATTCTATTCCATTTGAATGTTACAATGTATATTGTCACGACTCTCATTAAATTATCTGGGGGAGAATCAAGTAATTAATGTATTTTTCAAACAACTGCACTACCGAAGACGTGACGCAATCAAACCGCTAAACTGTGATAGTCAAAAATAATTTCACAATATTCTATGTTTTTTTTTTGCTGTGAAATTATGTAACCGACCATCACCACATACATACATTCTCTACAATTCTCTATTTAGAGAGAATGTAAATAATGTGAAAATAATCAAAAGAATTTGTTAAACAATGAAAATGTGATTGTCCCCTTATTAATTACTCGTGCGCATAGGTTATGTGTTAAGTTGTTAACTTCCTTTTTAAATCAGGTGTTGTGAAATCATGATCTTAGTGTTTAATGATTGATTTATAACCATCGGTTTGTCCATTGTTTGCGCGTTGATTTTGATTGTTATTTTCAGACCAATATCGTAACATTTATTTATGTAATAATATAATGAACGTTTTTATCTATCATCGTCACCTTAATTGCATTATATGAAAAAAAAAAAAAATATGAAAAGTTCGAGTCAATAAATCTGCGATTCCGGTTAAGAATTTTAGTCACGAAAATATCGAGACCCCCCATGCATTGTTATATTATTCACTTGTGCACAAGCACACACACACACGCAAACACACTAAAAAAGGTTAACTATTCCAATAATAGAATTCTAAATAACGAAATACAATGTTGTTGTTGTTGAACATACTGTATCAGTTAATCAAATACAATGTATTTGTAAAGACAATAGCTGTAGACTTTGCTGATCGTATTTGCCATTGCAATCGTATTTTAAATACGATTTTTACACTTTTTTTATATTTGAATCAAAGTGATTTGATTTATTCATTTCTCGTTACACGGATATGATCGGCATTAGAGTTCGATTAGATTTATTCTTGTCTTTTTCATCTAACCAACTAAATTCATTTATTTATTCAAACATAAATAACCACAAAAATTTTAATATAAATGAAATTGAAATCCCTTGAATTACCCGCCAATAAGAAAAAAAAACCAAAACAAAAATATGAAGGAAATTTAAATGAATGATACTCCCCTTCGATTGACGTCTTAATTTGCATTCTAATCTTGTGATTTAAAGGCGAGAACCGCCTGCATCTTTCGTGAATGAGAAACATTTCTGAAGCATCAACGGGCGAAACTACAACGCTGACGACAAACACGTCTGTCGCAACTTTAGAACGAAATACCATCTCTATAAAAACATTTTAAATTTGAAATTTCATGCAAAATGTTAATTTATCGTCTTTGGGGTATTAAATCAGTGAATAGAATGACGCTAGATATATCATGATACCATTGATAGTATAATATGAATACCACTGCATTTCAATTTTTTGAGCGATATAGCGTCATTCTATTTACTGGTATTAATAATTGGATTGGCTTGAGAAAAAAAATCAGAAAAAATGGGTTTTTTTCCTTTTAGAAAGATCAAAAATTATTTCTTAACATTTGTTAAGAAAATGACTTTGTCATGATGCTTTCTGTTTCGTATCCAATGAAGAGAATGAAATTTAATTTAACATATAGAAATCACATTTACTTCTTCAACTTCTTTGAATATACATTCAAAAACTATTCGTTAAAATTCAAATGAATTATTTAAAAAGATTTTAATTTTTGATAACGACCTTTGAAAAAAAAAATTAGATAAACAAAAACCAATTACAATAACATCAACAAAGACTTCATATGTATCTAAACGTAACCAAACAAGAATAAAATGCTAAAAATATCACACACAACAGACGTATTGGTTCAAAGCTTCAAAGATCAAGAACTGGTTCTGCTCTAAAGCATCAACGATTGAAACAGGAGACAAGAAAACAACGTGTATTATGTCTTTGTTCCAGTAATTATTCGTGTGAGTTGAGATAGGTCAAACACATCGCGCTGCTTTAAACATTTGCACACGAGATACAACGCAGTAAAGAGATTAAAGCGATGTAAAATAAAACCCAACAGCATGAGAGCAAGATAATTACATACATAGATACGACTCGGTACAACAATCGTTTAGCGAAAATTCAGTACTTATACTAATCGATCTATTTAATTCGCATAACCCATTCAGATGGAACAAAAAAAACCACTGCCTCATGAACCTGTATGAATAAAAAAGAAAAAAAAACCAAGCATCTCTTATTTTGAGCGGTTTCTCCAAACTAAAAGTCATGACTAATTTCAATAACGCATATATCGCTATTCTTACATGGAAATCGAAAAGCTTAATCATTAACACGCGTCATTCATGTGTTTAGAGTTTTGTTCATAGTAAAATCCAAAACATTTACATTGACGTAGTTGATGATGGAAAAAATATCTTTCGATCAATTTTATTTTATCAACAAGTTTGGATGTGATATCGAAACTTCCCTATCACAAATCCGCTTGTTTCATAAATGAATAACACATTAAAAATGAGCCAAATCATTGTGAGTGTGCTATTCATTATCAGATTTAGATCTTTATTGCTTTTTTTTCTTTCTTCGATTGTTATTCGGGGGACCCCATTTAATATTTTCTGAAATTCATCAAATCGTTGGAAATTTGGGGCATTGAATTAGAGAAAACGATGAACAATCGATATTTTTACAAATGCATCGACATATAGTGTAGCATTTAAGTGCGTAATCGATGTGTCTCATTTCCGGTGCGCTCTTTTTGTTTTCGTTTATTTGAACGGGAATGGGAGGCTTTCAAACTGTTTTCAATCGTTTGCGGACTAAATAATCAAATATCATGTTACAATGCTATAAACAATACATGAATTGTACAATTGAGCGTTTGAGATTTTCGCATACACAATAAATGGGCAATTACATTGTTGCAACGATTACTACGACTACGATGAAAATAAGTCACTTAAAAAAATGGAGATTGCCAATTATATACACGAAGACACATCATCTAACCTCCCAATCGAGTCTTGATTTATATGTATCGACACAGAATGAGTGAAAAGCCGTTTTTGTTTTCGTTTCTTTTTCAACATACACCCAGTTAACACACAATCCAGCTTACTGCAAATCGAATTAAATGCGAACCGAGTTAATTGACATCAAATGCACATTCACCTCCATGGTTGGCTACATGGATCGGTGGGTTTTTCACTTCATACACAAGCTGTTACTGAAAATGTCACAATGGATTAATTGCATTACTATAATGCACTTTACACGATGTCTGCATTCTGGTGTAATCAAGTCAACTAAAACTCAAAGGCTTACAGCGATTTAATTAAAAGAGATAGAGAGGGAGCGAATGAAAGAGTATTGCCTGCATATCAGGCCATTTGTAGCCGGATGAATTCGCTGTTAATTGGGTATATATACCAATTGACTTCATCTCTGTGTAGGCAAACCATTGCATGAAATGTACAGCCACACTTAGACACACGCACACACACACACACAACCATCGATATACATCGAATGGGGAAAAAATCACATAAACCGAACATTTCAAATAAATCAAAACGTAATACAATAGAACGCCGTACCTGAACACATAATAATTCTCAATATATATTTAGTGTATTGTAATGTAAATTGCAATGCAACAACACACTATTACATTAGATATTAGCTGAGGCAAGCGTCTCTCTTATAAAATACAGATGAGCGTATGCCGTTTGGTTGTTGGGCAGAAAAGAAAGAAAGAGAAAACTAAGAAGCAGCGCCGAACAACGACCGCAAAACAAAACAAAATAAACTGTAGCAAATGTGAAATCAAAAAAAAAAAGGAAAAACAAAAACAAAAATACAGAAACCTAGCATAGCATCGCGCACGCCGCAATCTATATTTTGATGTGTGCTGTGTGTGCTGTGTGTGCTCTGTTCGAAAATGGGCCCGAGAGTGTGAGAGAAGCGAAAACCTGTGTGCCTGAGACACATACACACTGGTCACACTTCGCGTATAAAAAGCAATCGACATAACGATTGTTGGAACATTAGCTGTTGCTCCTTTGTACGTGAAAGTGGTCAAGGATACACGAAAATAGTCGCGCGTGTTTATCTATTTTTCAACATTTTGTATTTAGATTCGTCCAATTTGTTTTGGTTAACTATTTTCTTCTTGTTCAAACAAAGTTAAAAAAGTTTTTGAATTTTTTTCTGGAAAAATTGTGCTGTCTCGTGACAAAAAAAAACAATCCACTGTATAATTTAATTTTGTGAAGAAACTGATTTAATTCGTTTGAAGTAGCCAAAATGAAGGTTCAAGTACCGTCACCCAATCCCATGCCAAATGTTATGCCGAACATTCGTATGGTCGATACACTGCGAAATCGGCAAAATGCCGAAGTGCAGACAAGAATTAAAGAAGTATGTATATGGATGCACGAGTGAAATGTGTGCTGTTTTTTTTTTCAAACACAAGAAATCATCAACATACACACCAAAAATCAATAAATCCAATCATATCGTTCGGTCTCTTCAAGAGAATTTAACGCTTAGTTTTCGAATAAACGTTCATTTCAAAAGATGTGTCAAACCAATGAATTTCAATTGACCGACCGATTCAATCGTTGTTGTTCTTGTTTTTCTTTTCTCTGCACACTCATGTTATGATTATGTTTTTTGTTGATCGTTCTCTATCTCTCTCTCTCTCTCTCTCTCTCTCTCTCTCTCTCTCTCTTTCGTTTTATGTGCACATTTTCCAGCTTACGATTTCCGACCAACCGATTGAAAAAATGTCAAAATCAATCGAACCGCAGGATGTGGATAACACCAAGAAGCAACAACAACAGCAGCAACAACAACAGCAGGAAGAAATTCGTGTAGAAGTTGTTCAGGAAGAGGATACCGAGGAAATTCTTAGCATGCTTAAAACATATTTTTTCAAGGTAACAATAATACAGCATCTTATTGCGCTTGGTTTAAACCAATTAACAATTAAAACAATTGGTTTAATTAGATTGTAGATGATAATGTGTTCGTTATAACTCATTGTGGTTTATTCATTTCTGCGAATTCTAGGATGAGCCAATGAATGAGTATCTGAAAATGGGCGATTGTGTGGAATTGGAGAAATACACAACAAAAAGTATTGGTGAAAAATGTTCGTTTAAAGCGCTCAATTCACGTGGTGAAATTATTGGCGTTGCAATGAATGGCATTGTAAAAAAACCGGTAATTTTTTTTTCTTCTTCTTAAACAATTAAATTCTCATTAAATTCGATTTTACATACATCGTTTCGTATGGCGAACGTCCGAAAGAAATTGTGCAGATTTTCTATAATTATTATTTTTTTTCGAATTTTCTTCTTCTTCATTTTATGTAGAAGCCGGATCAACCATTTCATAGTTATGCGGCCGAATGTAAGCATCAACAATTTAAAAAAATTCTCACGCTCATGGAATACATTGATCATCAATACAGTACATTCAATTTGTATCCGGATATAGAGAAATTTTTAGATGCCACCATTTTATCGGTGAATGCAAACTATCGTGGTTATGGTGTGGCTGGTAAGCTAATGGAGAAAACGATGCAATTCATGCGTGAGCAAAAAATTACCGTGATTCAAATGTTATGCTCGAGCTACTATTCGGCGCGAGTATGTGAAAAGATGGGCTTTAAAAAAGTCTATGTATTGCCATTTGCTGATTATAAAGTTGATGGTGAAAATCCAATTTTACCGAAAGAACCCCACACAGCCATTCAAATACTGGTACAAGAGATTCATTAGCATGTATAATGCGGTTCAATTCTTCTACCAACAGAAATTATACAAAATCAACAAAAACAATAAACTGTGTTTTGAATTTTTGAGGATTGAGTCATTATACACACATACACCTGTGTTCTTTTCATCTGCTCAGTAGACGTGTTATAAGGTTATTATTATTTACGCTTAATAAAAAATAATATGGAGATTTTTTTTCTTTTTTTTTTTGCGTTCATTGTTTTCGTTTGAAAACACAAAACAAATCATGTCTATAGTCAAGAGACACATTTGTTACGCGGGATTAGCATTTAAATACGATTGTATTTTCTTCATTTTTAAACGAACAATATTTATATTTTTTAATAAGTTCAAGAAGAACGCAAGTTTTGAAACATTTTTCGGGTGTCGATTGTGCGCAATTGAGAAAAACTCACTCCAATAAATTTACAGTGTCTATAATTATGAAAGCGGCGATTTTTTTTATCTGTTTAACACATAATCCACAACCATAGGAAAACATTCTCCTCGAACTTAGTAATATTATATTAGACATGGCTATTCAAAAAGGCTCGCACTTAATTCGTTCAAACCTCTAGCAAATCGAAAGAATTTCCAGAATTCTATTCCATTTATTGTAAAAATCCAAAGATTTTTGATTCGACTGGGTTCATTTCTTCTAATTTGATCAGTATACCGCTATTTTACATAATTTCATTCACACTGCTATGATCAAGTTTTTGTGTATGTTTTGTAATAAAGTAACGAACGCTTAACTCAACGCATTGCATATTGTATCAGCGTTGAATTTCGAACGAGCGTGAACCCTTTCAATGAAAAAGTTTCTTAAATACGAACTCGATCTTTGTTGCAAGTATTAATTATTTCACGGCCAAAGTGTTTAAGATACACTAAAAATCGGAAAAAAATGTATTCTTTTAAAAAAAAAATATTTTGAATTGCTTTGCTAATAGATCTAAGATATGTTTTATGACTGACATGTGTGTAAATCATAGTAATTGCTTGCAATTAGTCAAGAAAGTAAAAGGTGAAATCGAAAATAAAAAATCAATTTGCACACGGCAATGAGATCATCGATAGTGTTGAAACAAAATTTACATTGAATAAAAATTGTTATTGAGTTTGATATAAGATTTTCACTTGTGGTTTTGTTTGACAAAATTTCGTCGTAATAAATATCATGTCGTTGATATCAAGATGGATCTTTATAGAAATATACAAATTGGTAAAATTAAATGACATAAAATAACGTTTCCTATCACATCGAGCTTACTATTATTCTCAATGGTGATATATTTTAATGATTATTGGGACATTTTGTTCGTGTGTACACATCCGCCATTCTTCATTTTTTTTCTCGATTCAATTTCAACTTAACATTAGGTAGTTGAGCACACAAACAGAGTTCAAAAATGAAAACAAATAAATAAAATCAAACAGAGTAAACGATTGTAAAATTTGAGATGTAGTTTTTAGTGTGTTATTTAAAAATAAAAGTAAATGAAAGAAATGTTAGTTATAATCACTGAATTTATACTTTTTTTTGTTTCCGTTAAGATTTCGATCCGAAACATGGAAAATGACCAACTCTTTATTGGTATCAATCAAATACTATATATATATTTTAAGCCTTTTGGTGGTTATGTGCAATAAACTAATTTAAACAATTGAAAAGAAAACAATGAAGAACAGACCATATACTGAGCATAGATAAATATCCGAGATATTTTGTGAGAATCCCATATTTAACGCAGCAGTTCATGCATTATTGCTCCTTCTAAATGTAGTGTGTGTAAGACCCGAATTGGCATGTGTATCCTAAACACAATTCGTTTGAAGGTGTTAAAATGTACAGATCGACACTCATACTTACACACAAATGAAGAGAACAATGAGTGACTGTGTAAGCATGAGTGTCGGTCTGTGCATTGTTATTCCTTCAAATGAATTGTGTTTAAGTCACACACGTCGATTCAAGTCTTGCAAAGAACTAAAAAGGAAGTCGTTTAGAAGGATCAATAATGCATGCAATATCAGATTCTCACAAAATATCTCGGATATTTATCTATGCTCAGTATATGGTCTGAATTGAAGAATGCAAAATTATTTGTAGAAAAAAAACAACAACTAAGAAATAGATACATGTACATTGTTCTCTGTTAAATAAATGTAACATACACAAATTTATGAGAAATGATATCACGCATTTGTTTTATTTCGTCTTAGTTTCTGTACAATCGGTTCGATTTATAAATCTAAATATGAACCAAGTCAAACGTTTTTAAATTAACAACTCTCTAATAACTTTATAACGTAAAAAAATACATAAGCATAAAATCGAGATATTTTTTATCATTTATCCGGCGGAAATAAAGAATTTTCGTCTTTAATTTCGGGAACTCTATAATATGTGGGACCAGCATGCCCATGTCGTCGCGCGTCATAGTAATATCTTTTTCTTTCTGCTTCGAAATCACGCACTAGACGATTCTTTCGTGATAACCTGTGAAAAATTGACACGTAATTTAATATATTTGCTTTGTAGATAAATGCAGTTCTAACGATCAATTTAAAACTTAAAATCCTTATTTCATCAGAGTAATACAATTCTAGATCCGAATAAAAAAATCAGTTACTTACGAATACACAAGGAAACAGGTCAAAAAATTCATCAGAACGAAAGAAACAATAAATCCCCACACTTTTTTTCTGGTGAACACATTGCCCGGTGTCCACGGATTGTTATATTGATCACGATAGTAATTACTGAAATTAAAATTTCCGTTACCAATTATGATTGACTAAACTAAATGACTATCAACTAAATTATTATATAATTTTCTTACTTTGAATATCCGTTCCTATTGTACCTATAAAATCCTTGTTCCATATGTTGCCATCCGCCTCTATTAAAATCATTCGGTGGTGCTCCTCTAAACGATGATGCATTGTATGGTGAATGATACGCATAATATGGATTATGCGTTATTGAAATTTCTGCATCGTATGCGTCCCGTGTTGATTTTTTATTTAAAACCTTATAGGCTTCCATAATTTCTTGAAATTTCGTTGAATTTTGTTTTATATTGCCATCTTTACTTGTGTCTGGATGATACTAAAACGATATTATATTGCATTTTGATTTACTATTTTAAGTGGCAAGCTCACTCGAAAGGTTGTTTACCTTCTTTGAAAGACTCGCAAACGATTTTCGTATTTCATCGTTTGAACAAGTTTTTTTCAAGTTCAATACGTCATAGTGTGTACGCTTTGAATAAAATCGTCTGCATTGTGATAAAGTTCGAACATCCTTTAAACTATTTACACAAAAAAAAACCAAATAATTGAGTTAAAACAAAAGTTATTTGAAGAATTCCTCTCTTTCAAGTGTTGGTTCGCTTTGCAGAACCTTTTTCTCAAATAAGTGGCAAATATTTACAATTTGATGGCATGTTGTTTAAGCATCGGATGTGTGATAAAAAATACTTCCATTGGCCACAAACACCCGATAAACTTGTCTATCAATTTAAAAGATAAATACTAAATATTTATATGTAATAATTTTCTCTTTCTCTCTCTCGCTGATCAAATCAATTTGCGATGTTATTCGTCTGTCAAAAACATCTGATAACCGTCAATAGGAGTGAAGTTAGGCACAAGTTTCAAATGATTACATTTGATTTTATTACATTGCTACGTTACACAGCAACTACACATGATGATATTTTCTTACGCCAAATTCTCTTTTTTTATATATCTCAACAGTCGTCTTTATTGTTAATTTCAGTGTTCAAATAAAAAAAAGCAGAAAATTCCAATTCAAATTAGCAAATGCAACGATATGAATAGTGTGTCTTAAAATTATTTCACAAAAATTCTCAGTTTTGACTTTGTTCGTTTTTCAAAAATTCGTAAACATATGAAAAATCTTTGTTGCCCAATCCTCGGCATGTAAGCGTCCGGTAGATTTGATGCGCAATTGCGCCCATTGGAATTGGTGAATTTGAGGCTGTCGCCACACCAGATGCAAGTCCCAAATCCTAGATGTAAAAAGAGATGAAATGAAAGAGAAAAATGAATACTTGACTGCCTATCAAAAAGCGTTGAATTTTGCAAGGTTTTTTTTTTATCGCTTGTCATTCGTACTTTTGTAATCAAAGCTGTTGAAAAACCGCCACGATAGTCATTGTTTGCTGGAGCATTTTCACTAAGTCCGGGAACTGGATTATTGATTGTAGATGACCAACACTGTCCGGTCGATGAATTGATGATATCGTTAAAAGTTTTCGGATCCAAGCCCAGTCTGGAAATGAATCATTTTTTCAATAGCAATAATCTCAACGAAATTTATTCCATTTATAGATGAAATACCTTATCGCCAAGTTCATTGTTTCGCAAACGCCAATCATCGAAATGCCCAACATCATGTTATTGCAAATTTTTGCCGCTTGACCCATTCCATAGTCACCGCAATGTGTTATTCGTCGTCCCATGCCTTCCAACAAGCCCTTAACTGTATCGTATTCCGCTTTAGTTCCGCCAACCATAAATGTAAGCGTTGCATTTTCGGCACCCATTACGCCTTACATAAGAAAACAATAGAATTAAAAGATTCGATTTTATACTACACATTTCAGCAACTATATTAAACTAATTAGCTCACCTCCACTCACCGGGGCATCAACAAACGATGCGCCCTTTGACTTGACCAATTGTTGAACCTATTTGAAATGTAAATTTTGAAAATAGTGCTTGTAAACCATTTGATTTAAGATTTTACAAACCTTTTTTGCAACATTTGGATCAATTGTACTGGAATCAATGAACATGGTATTTGAATTAACGCCATTCTTAACCATTTCATCGTATGTATCATAGACAATGTCATTGTTTGGCAGCATTGTAATAACAAAATCCGATTTTTGTGCAACTGCTTCGGGTGATCCATAGATGGTGCAGCCTTTGCTTTCTGCTTCTTTACACGCAGATGGTGCAACATCGAATGCATTTATTTTATGACCCTACCAAATAAAATCGAAACAAGAATAAAACATACAAATTTGTTTTGATCTATTTTTATTTTGCCTAGCTCATTATCGGCTTGTATATAAGCGTACGCACAACAACAACAACAACAACAACAACAGCCAAAAAAAGAATAAAAATAATCAAGAAAATACGAGTGACACACTTAGCGCACTGCGCTATTAAATTATTGTGCGCGTTTGATACACACCTCCTTCTCGTGCTACGTCAGATAGTGACACAGTATATATAACGGGCTATTTTTGAGAAATAGCAAAATATCTCCGGCACAAACAAAATGTAATCAAAACATGCGTATTTTTTTCAATGGCCAACGAAACAACAAGAAAATAAAACTAGCGAAAAACTATTTTGATCATTTATAACGTAAATCACATGTTGTTTTCTATCTTCTAATCAAATTGATAAAGCTTCTAATAGAAATGATAACAGAAAATGTAGGATAAGAATGGGAGAGACACGAGAAGGTGATATACTGTCACATTTGGCGATAGACGACGCGATGCCAATTTGGCACCAATAAAATCATTTTTTTTATTTTGCATGTTGAGAGAAAACGAAAAAAAAAATTACCTTTTTAATGAGATTGTTTGCCATGCGTGATCCCATATTTCCCAGCCCAATAAAACCAACGTTGAACGATTTGCTTGCCGCCGAACTTGACATACATTTCGAAAATGATTTTGTCAAACTAGCGTTATTTTTAAGTGCATGCATTTGCCACTTTGTCATTATTGTCGAAAATTGTTTGAGTGCCATAATTAAACGATGATTGAATGATTTTGAAGATTTTTTTTTAAATAAAAATTCTTGAATTTATGAAGAAAAAAACAATTGAACCGAACGACTAGAGTTATCAACAAAATCGAACACAATTCTCTGTGTGAATGACCACAACGGTTGCTGCCAGTTAACTGAAACGATTTAAATAACTAAGTCATGGTTTTAGTTGCGTTAATGTGTCGGTGCGAAGCGGGTTGATGTGTCGGTGTGAGTTGATAGAACCCAAAATCAAAAACAAATACGATGACTTTCGTTTTTTTCTCTCCTTTCATTCCGAGCGCTGAGCGCTCATATAGTTCAACTGCTACCTTCATAAGTAACAATATTGTTTTGATTTTAAAAGCATCATATTTTCTGCACCCTGACAATTATTGTGAAAGTGTATGTATGTGCGTGCTCGTATTCTTTTTTAGCTGTTGTTTTATCAGCGTTATCAACCAAACTTACAGCCCATACTACTCTTGTCAAACCGAAGACAGTCGCTATGTTTCATTCGTTCTCAGTTTATATGTAGAGATGATCGGGGATTTCTTGTTTCTATTTCGTCGATTATCACACACCATCATGTTTCATCTTGAATATAACGACATTTCGTTAAGCGCAATCTTCTTTTCGATTATATTACTGTGTTATTTTACTCTTCCAGTATTATCCAGAAAATATATTCAATATGCAAATAAAGTCGGTGAATTATATACCAATTCCCAAGTCAAATAACAAAACGATGATTTTCTTCATTATTATTTCATTTTCCCGCACTATTTTTATGCACGACGACGACGTTTTTTTTTATTGACGACTGGTATATTGTCGCTGAGCATATAAAACCGAATTACCTAAGGTTTTATTGGCAAACGATTCAATTAATATAAATGGAAATTAAATAAAGTAAAGATATTTATTAGTTAGCAGCAAAAACTTGACTTTCAACTAATATCAAATATAGTGCGGAGTTATCAATAATATGAAGTACGTTACGGGATATGCCGTCTTATCAACTTTTTATAATGTTACACTAAAAACTGGCAGTCTTTCATAATGAGCAGTGTTTGGCAGGAGAAAGATATGGATCATTGAACGAAAATCGGTCTCACCACCATTAAAATCCGGATCTTTTTTTTTACAATTCTGTACGATTGCATTCTTGGGCTAATTCTCGCTTTGGCACACAGCGTGTGTCATAAATATTTGCCTCTAAAAGAAAATGAAAACAAAAAAAAAATAAAAAAAAAAATCTTTTTACAAGAAACAAGATAAATAAATATTCATTTGCATAATTTGTTGGTATTGAGAATTGAGTTCGAAATTGACCATAAAACTTTATCCTTTCGTCCATGAACATTATCTGCAGAAAAATCGTTCGATTTTGTCGTCCGATGTACGGAATGAATCTAATTGATTTGTTTGTGTTCTCACAAGTATTCACATCATTTGCAAACAAGTTTTGATTTGGTTCATGCCATTTAAATTCAAACACATAATTTTTATGTATACATTTCCACGTCAAGCCAATGCATAATCGTTAAATCACATACCTACTACTTTCTGTACTTCGTTGGACGAATGGAGATATATAAAATAAAATAAAAAGAATATTAAATTATATTATGTATAAAGTTTGCGGAATGCTGACGTTTTCTCGTGGAAAAAACAAAGTTTAATCAAATATTCAAGCACAAAAAAGCAACACACAACAGATGGCATCATAACAGGCGTTATCTACATTCAGTAGCTTAATTCTGGAATCATCGCCTTGCAATTTTGACCAAAAAAAAAACAATGAAAGATTAAATCCATGATTTTATACTACAAATTTCAACAACTATATTTTACATATCTAGTTAGGCTCTTTGGGTTTACAACTATGTTGGTATATATCCAAAACAAAAAAGCAACATCTTCTTTTCTAATTCTATTATTCTAGTAAGTAATTTTTGGTTTGTTAACTAATTATGACATTAAACTTGGTGTGGGTGAGTGTGTATTTTTCATTCGATATCTGAGATTCGCAAAAACGTGTCATGTTTAATAGACTATTGGCCAATGAGAGTTCCGTGCACATTTGTCCGTTTCATATGGTGTTTTGCAGAATGTATTGAAAGTGGTTTCTTGTGGAAAACCCATAATTTCACGCTCTTCATAGATGCGATAAGTGAATGTGCTCTCGTAACTACCGATGAAATACCTGAAATGAAATGAAAGAAATTTAAGAAAAATGCTTAAAGTTTAAACGGCAGTAAAAAAAGAGTTGATTATACCTTGCATTCGAGCAAATTGCTTGATCAACAATTGCTATTCCCCCCGGTTTTAGTCGTCTACGTTCCTCAGCAGACGATGGCGTGAATCTGTGTACACTATATCTACTTAAATATGACTTAAAGCTGCGAAATTCTTGACCCGTACAATCACTCGACACAAACATATTTTTTATTTGCAACTCTTTTAATTTGACTAATATTTGAGTGGCGGCCGAACGTAATGATGGAGTTGTTTCTTCACGACCCTGAACAAAATCAGCTCGTCTTAAATGCCCACATATATATTTGCCACCTTTGGCATTGCGATGCTCCTAAAATAATTGAAATGAATTTTATTTTTCTTCAAACATTCAATAAAATAGATCGGTACATACTCTTTCATTTTGCCAATCGAACGGCCTTTCGGTGCCATCAAACTCGTCGGTTGAGTTAAATATATCATTTCTAAATTCATTTGCAACTTGAACTAAATATGAATTAAAACGCATTGATCGTCTTGCCCTCCAATATTCCGAGCCGCCCCAATGGTCATGAAGAACCGTTTCCGAATTGAATATTGCAATGGAATGAATTTTAGCGTCCGAACTGTCAAAACAAATACAAATTAAATAACAATTCCAATTAATTTAATTTCACATTTATCGCTTACCGTTTCGGAAACTTTTCAAAAAGATCATATAGAAGTCCAGCTGACCCTTGAAATTCGACACATTGCCCATTCCGTACGGTGAAATTGTTGTATAGACTGAGAAATTGTGCGCCACCATTTACAAAAAAATGTTGATCACAGTTTCTTTGTATGTCGAATTTCTCTTCGAATCTGCCGCTTAAAAACATACTTTCAAAATGTTTCAATCGGAATGCATTATTTATGCTTATAATTTCATTTGATTTGTATCCGAAGCAATCGCGTAAAATCTCAAAATATTCCCATATATCAATGACAGCCGTGTATCGTTTCATACTTTCGAGATCAAAGAAATGATTCCAAAATAAAATGTCATCATCGTTGATATCATTTTTGCTGCGATATCGAAATGTTGATGCTAAATTCCAATGATATAATTGATAAAATGGTGGTAAAACTAAAAATGAATTTTCGTAATGTCGACGATGTCGCAGTGATTTTAGAAAAACAGCCATACGAATGTAAACGTCACGCCGTAAATTGAATCCTTCCACCGAATTGACATCGTACAGCAGAAAAACAGCTGGCGAACTGCTATTAACTAGTTGAAATGGAGCGCATTTGTTAATATTATGTGCTTTGCCATCATCGTAAATTGATCGCTTCGCAAATTTATCACAAGAAAAATAAGAATAAAAAAAATCTTTGTACTGGCACGTTAAAGGTTGTTTGATTTGGAGGGCAGGCACTTTTTTCGAATTCGACGAATTCACGAATACAATCAATAAACTAACGTTCAAGTATATCACAACACCTATGAAATAAAAGAGCAAACGAGAGAGAGAGAGAGTGTGAGAGAGAGAGAGAGATTGAGAGAAAAAGAACAAAAAATATTGAAGAAAGCATAAATCAAATGCCAAATGCTATTGTAATGTGTATACATATCCATAAAATTGATGACAACTCATTCGATTTATCTGAACAGATGGAAATATCAAGGAATTTATTATAATTACCCAATAAATTTTCCGGCTTCATTTCATTACGGAATCTTATTTAAATTGCTTCAGTCACATTCTCTATACGATTTGAAATGGGTTTTGTTGTGTGTACACTACAAGTGGAAAAAGACAAGCAGTCACAAAACCGGTGCTTTCAGTACTGACGACTTTGACATTTGACTGGAGAGCCAACAGTATCGGTAAGTCAGATCTGAATTGACCTAATTCAATATTTTTGAATTTTTAATTTCGGTTAAAAAAAACAACGAATTTGCGTTCTTTTTGTTTGTTTATTTGTTTCTCTTTTTTTTGTGGTAGTTTTACATGAATTAGATCAAGGCCATTTTTGTTTGATTTTTTTTTATTAATAGTTGTACAAATAAATAAATTTCAGATAAATTGGTTCGCTATGTAAAAAAATTAAAACATGGTTTTCTTTTAGTAGGCTTCATTTCCGTATGTTTCAAAGAACTTATTGAAAATATCAGGCAATTCAGGTGCTCGGCATATGAATTTATGTCCATAACCACTTTCAGCATCAAACCGATGAAATTCGACGGGGCCCCATGATTTTTGTCGCTTTTCCAATGCTGATTGGTACAACTAAAGCAGCAAAAGAGCCAACAAAAAATTCAATTAATTCGAATTAAAGAAAAAAAAGCATTAAGTTGCTTGCCTTATGGCCTAATTTATATGGCACAACGATATCGTCTTCGGCATGAAGAATCATAATCGGTTGTGGGAATGTGGCAATATGTTTATCTGACTCGAATCGTAAATTATTGTCAAACATCGGCTCAGTTATGGTGTAATCAAACCACGGTAAATTTCGGAAAAAACGTGAAAATGGATGTTCACGCACTTCATCTTTTATATTATTGAATGGACTTTCAAGCACTAGAACACGTGGCCCGAAAATGTTGAGTTTCTTCAATTTGGCCATAGTATGACAACCCACTCCGGTACCTTAAATAAAGTAAAATATTTCTTTTTTTTTTTATCTTCAAACGATCGATAAATAGATAAAAAAAAAACACTGATGTAATTTACCCAGCGAATGGCCCTAGATGAGAATCACAAAAGAAAAGAATAAACATTAATTAACGAATAATGCAACAAACAAAAATGGATTCGAATTCTTACCCATGCAAATATTGGATTTTTTGTAACACTTGTTATATATTTGTACACAGCGATGGCATCTTGTACGAGACCATCTTCGTTTGGTGATGGTGGCAACGAATCGCCATAGCCACGATAATCAAATGCAATCACATGGTAACCCTGTTCTCTTAGCACCTTGTACAATTCAATGCGATGGGATGCGGCACGTGAACCAGAATTGCCATGCATATAAAATACAATTTTCGCACCGGTAATGTGCAAACATCGTTCGTAAAATTCAACATCATTTTCATTAGTTATTGCTGGAAATTCGTTACGGATCTCATTTTCAATTGCTTCGATTGATTGCTCATATTTTACGTGACGGTGTAGTGATGTATTCGATGCTATTATTTCAGTCTGAATGGAAGAAAAGTGGAGAATTGGTTTCTAATGTCAAAAATAAGGTAAAAAATATATGCACAAATACCGCTTTGAGGCCGAGTTCTTTGGAGAATTTTTTCGCAATATAGTTTGGTAGGATATGCCAAACGCCGAGTGTTACATTTTTTTCTTCATTATTATCGCGATACTTAACATAAAAATTACGTGTTGCATAAAGGCCGAGATCTGCGGGTGATTTTAATACTGTGCTGGATGGATGTGCAACTGTAACAGAAATGCAACGTCAAAAGTGTTTATGTTTCAATATTTTTGTTTATTTAATATTGTGGCGTGATTTGGATTAATTTGCAGCAATAAAAATGAATTATCAATTACTTACTGAATGTTAAAAATAGAACGCCACGCTGCAAAACTGGTGAATACTTATAAATAAACGGTAACACAAGAAAAATGATAACGCTTCCAATTATGCATAGCTTCAATGTTGCAATCGATATTCTGTAAAATGTAGCAAATAAACAATTTAACACGTTAATGTGAATGTTCTGGTTCAAATCCAAACCATTTGTGCACATATAAAGCGAACATTTTGTCGAACCTTTGAAAAAATTCAGAGGACGTGCCAACTGTTTTCATATATATTTTTTTTCGATCGCCTTTTGTTTACACGGGGAGTTATTGTTTTCTACAAAAACGAAAGTGCCATTAACTAAAGCTTTCAAAGCGTACCATAGGAAATGATAAGGGAGCGATATTATACAGCCAGCACGTCCTAAGTGTAATTCGATATTTGTTTTTATTTAGAGGCAATAGCCACGCAGCGTGACAAACTACTTAATTACTTACAACCCAAATAACCACAATAGAATGAAAATTCCAGGAATGACTGTTGTATAAAAAACGTCTTTTAATACGCGATCTGCGTTCCACATTTTGTCTGTATGTTTTACTTTGTTCCTCTCTCTAATTCACGATTTGCTTGGTTAATTGGTTTAAAATTTGTATCGTTATGTTATTTACGTCTTTTTTATGGCACTTGCATAAGCTCTCATTCTTTTTGTTGACGTTGTCTAAATGGACTTTTTCAATTGAAAAAATGAATGAAAATGTCATTCAATTCACTGATTGCATATAAAATACTCTCACGTGCAATTCGAAAAGGCAATAAAGGAATGAACAAACACGGTGTCTACTCGTTGTTCTGAACAAAGATCGGATTTTCTTTGTTTTGTTAGCGATTACTATAATCGTATTGAAATCAGATGTGTTCATGGAAATTTATCGAATTATTTTTTTTAACTGTAAAATAGAAAAAACTAAATCAAATTTCATGTTTTTTTCTCCAATATTGCGATTTCAACATGCACTTGAAATGGTTCATCGAATTTCTTGCGAATAAAACAAAAACGGTCGAAGTTGATAAGATTCGTGTTCTCCTTGTAACTCAGTGCTAAATGAATATGGTTATAGCGATAATATTTGTAAATTCATGGTTGATTTGCATTGCCGCTTTGAACTTGCAATTCAAATCATATCAAAAACGCAGATAACAAACTAAAATGGTATTTTACATAAATGTAAATCAATTCACTATTTCCATTGGATTTATCATTGGCCATTTATTAATTAGATGGATTATATAAACTAGCTTGGATTTGCTTGTAAAAAACGACAGGGAGGGGAGATGACAAAAAATCATTGTTTGGGGATATTGTATCACCTTTTGATAAATCGCCGTTTTAACGTTACACTCATGGTTGTCGATTGAAGTAAAACAATCGAAAATAAAAAAAAAACTATTTTCAAAATCAAATCGGCTCCAGTTTCTCTATGTTTTGTTTGTCTGTCAATATCCAGGGCGTCATTCACGCATACACACACGATAATCACATTAAACAGGATTCGCGCTTCAACAATATCGTTTCGTATTTATGCAATTGTTATCATTGCGGTTTATAAACAACATGAAGATAAGCAGAAAACACGCACGCACACACACAACTGAAACAGAATTGAGAATAAATAAATAAAAAAAATGTTCACAAAACGAGCATTTTTATAAATGAAATGTTGCACTTTTTTCGTTCAGCCAAATTCAATGACCGACTGCTGCATGACAGATATGTTACCAAAATGTTTTCAAACAAACAAACGAGAGAAAAAAATCGCTTCGAATGGACACATAAACGGAGAGAGCACATGCGACACAATTTCACAAGAATCGACCAGCATATGATTCATCCATAAATTATACTTCTGTTTTATGCACGTCAAATGTCGAATACGTAAAGAAATATATATATATACGAATAATTATGCGCAGAGTTTTGTTGTGTGTTTTTTTTTGTTCGGGGAGGGAAAACAAGTTTTTGAATTGAAAGCAATTTCCGCGCAAAGCATCGACCGACTACTGGACAATTCATAATGATTCACTTTTCAACATTTCAATGTAGAAATTGTATACTTTGAAATGAAAGTAAAACTCAAAGTTCAGCATGCGTGCAATTAAATACGTAATGTTTACGCGAATGAGACACTCCCGGGCAAAAAAAATAGAAAGAAATATTATTATACAATAAATTTGAATTCATAAGCCTTATCTCTTGTGCACTTATTATTACCAAAAACTTTCTTCGGACCAACTTTGCTGGAAACAATTGAATTATATTTAACAAGTTCCGCACTATTGATGAAAAAAAAAGTGGAGTACAACAGAAGTTCTACTCGAATGCAATGATGGATTTGATTGCGAAACTAGTTCTGTGGCGGAGCAGAGCATGAAATTGCACTTTTGAAGCAACGCGCCTGCTTAGCGAGCGCAATATCTGCGAATCGCTTAGTTAAATTATCAGCAGCCTCTCCAAAATTCGAATTGAAATACATCACACGAACACAAATACAAATAAAAGTAATCAAACTAACATATATACGGACAGCTAAGAATGGCGCCCGGCAGACGGGCACAACATAAGTTATGATTTCTGGCTCTGATGCTGAGGCCTTTTTTTATATAGATAAATTATATATTAGATAAAATGACGAATTTTGTATTTCATTCTATGATAGATACTTATCAAAACCCACACTATATGCCACATCATAAATAAAGAAACGACCGTTTTGAAATTTCCGCTTTAAAAGAATATTTAAGATAACAATGCACATAATAACAATAGTTCCACTTTAACAAATTGTAATGAAATCGGCCGAATACAATAAATGCTGGTTCAATTGAATCAACTAAACACACAATTGCCAGAAAAGTCGAGGTCATACATAAACCATATCTTTTCCATCAATAAATTATTTATCGTAAATTTCGATTGATATGACTCAATGTGATTAAATATTTCACTCTTGACCAAAAAAAAAACATGATTTTACTCGTGTTCATGATTTAATCTGAAATTTGTTCAAAATTATGCTAATTATCAGATATTTTTGATGATACTTTTGATATTGAATTATTTTATTTTTCAGCTGCAAGTTAAAATCTTTTATAAATTCTCTCCGGATCTATTATAATTAGTCGCTTTTTTAAACAACACACTTTCGAATCTATCGCCGTTAAAACACGAACAAATCGCAAAATCAAACTTTCACATTGGCCAACGTGAAATAAAAAATTGAAACCTTCGTTTTTCTGCGGTGGATATGATTTATTTATTTCATATTTTATGTTTTTCATTTAAATGGCGTGGCAAATTATCCGCTTAACATTCAATCAAACACAATTTAAATTTGATATTAACATGCAATTTTTCGTATAAAATTTTTCTTCCGTTTTCACAAAAACATTCACACACACAAACAAAAAAAAACTTTAAAAATGAACTGAATTGAAACGAGTTTTTAAGAGTACATGCCGATCAAAAGCACCTATACACAGCCAGAAATTATCTGTTATGTGTGTAATTAAAATAATGAGACGATTTGGTCGTTTCAAGGGTAAAAGGTATGTGATAAGCAATTATTTTGTCGTTACAAATGTAGGTCTAATTTTATCGAATGTCTTAATTTCCTCATGCACACACACAGGAACACACACACAAAGAGAATGACAAGCAAACAAAACAATATTATTGGCAATTAGTGTGACACACGCGTGGCAACAATGTTATTCACCATCCAATTTTTGAAAATGATTGGAAAATGCTCTTATTCTTGTTTCAAATACCAAATATCGATTACTTTTCACACACACACACTCACGCGTGTAATAACAAAATCGTCCGTCTATCGTCGAACGAAATAAAACAATGAATCGATTTTAATGTGGGTCAACCGTGTAGACAACTGTTTAATATGTTAATTCAAGCAATTGAAAATAAATACACAATAAATCAGTTATTGCATTTGTGTATTTATACCATTTAAAATACAATGAACCGTTTGTTGTCAAAGTTTTTTTTATTCTCTGTCTTTCTCTCTCCCTCTCTCTAACAATTTAACTGCGCTTACTGAAATTAATTAAACAACAACAGCACAATTCGTGCCTTCTAAAATTAGGCATACACATAGGACACACAAATGCAAACAAACAAAATTGTCTGAGTTGACATGCAGTTGCAAATGCAACTTCGAATTAGTCACTGTTCAACGATATTATGTACAAAGAACACCACAGACAGACCACGACCGAACGAATGGCTTGAAATCAACACTAGCTTAAACAACAATAAAAAAAACCAACAACACACACACACATACTATTCACGGACAACGGTCAGGAGAGACTATACTGAGGCGTGACGTTGATAAACTACTGTTCAATTAAACGCGAAACGATCAATGATTACAATTTTGTGTTTTCGTCCAAAGTTCGAAATGTTTAGATTTTTTTTTCTGTTCGTCGTAGAAAATGGAAAAAAGAGAGACAAGCTAGAAATATAGTCGATCGTGCGCACGCCAACAATTTTTTTTTTATGTTCAATGTTGTGTTGTTTATAATACTGTTGTCATAGTTTGATAAAGAAAAAAAAAATTGTTCGTTGTACGTCATCCGCATCAGCACACAACAATATAATTTCTATTCAAGCTACACTCATTCACTCACTCACAATAATTCAAATTGTCGGCAAAAGGCTAAACAATTCATTTGAAATTCAAGGGTGAATTCCTTGTCGATCAGCTGTTCGTTGCATCAACAATGATTGCTTTCCGTTTATGTCCCATTCGAATGCAGAATTAAAATGCAACAATTTCATTCAAAATAACATATTTTTGTTTACCTTTTTCAATGGCACATTTTTGTCGAAAGAAGAAGAAAAAAAATTAAAAATTTATTGAACTGTAACAAATGTATGCGTTGTCTGAAATAATGCTTACGCCTTTTTAGTCTCATCATTGACAGATAATTACCGACACACACACACACACACCGTCTAATGGACTGAGTACAAAAAGTGAGGTTATGTTTCCAGTTGACAGATGGATGCAAAACGTTTGACATAAACTTTGTTAGCATACACAACAACCAATTCGAATGAGACTTTTATCAATTTGCTGAAGTGCAGTCAATGGTAGTTTTTATGCGTCTCAAGTGAGTGAACTGCAACGATGAATAAACCAAAGATTACATTTGGAAAAATTCAATTGGCCGTTAAAAAGACGGAAAAAATTGATGCGGATAAAGAAGAAAATCAAGACGATGCCGCTACATCAACGTCAGGTTTGTAATTTAGCAATTGAAAAAATGAAATCAACTCCAAATAAAATATTTAAAAAACGATTTTATTTTAGGTTTTGGTACATTTGGAAAAAGTGAAAAGGAAAAGAACTCATTGAACATTGCCATCGAGGAATTGGCAGAAGATTTGGAGAGCCAACGCGTCAAAGAAATTATGGGCATTACAGAATTTGGACGGAAAGCAAAGACTTTTGATATTACGGTATGCGTTAATAACATAATTCTGAATTGGTAAGGATGAAAGTAGCAAAATAACTGAAAATATTAATTTACAGAGTGAAATAGCAAAAGCGCGTGAAAAATCAACAGTAAGCACCAAATTACCTCCAAATACCGAAGAAAAGACTGATGAAGATGAGTCTGACAGTGACAGCGATGACGAAGAAAAGGATGACGTTGTTGGACCATTGCCGGCAAAAGATCCCGAGGCCTCCTCGGGCCATGGTTCGAAGTATGTAATTTTGTTTTTCATCTCAAAATTTTTCAATACATTATTTTCAATTTTTTAATGTAAATTTTCAGAGTGACAAAGAAAAAAGATGACAATGAGTCGGCAGATAGTTATGATGACTTAAGTGATTCGGAAGATGATGATGAATCGAATGTGGGTCTGGCAAACAGAATTCCAGCATCACATGAAGTGCAAATGGTTCATGGCACTCGTTCGATTTTGGCATTGGCCAGTGATCCATCGGGTGCCCGTTTGGCTTCTGGATCCATAGATTCCAGGTAATTACATATAACTTTATTCAGTTTTAAAATGTGCAACAAAAAAACCCATTGTTTTTCTCTGTTTTCAGTCTTTGCTTCTGGAATTTTGCTGGTATGGATACGTCAATGCGAAGTTTTCGTACGTTAAATCCTGCCGAAAACTATCCAATTCGTAGTTTGTGCTACAGTGTTACCGGCGATATGATAATGATCGTATCGGGAAATTCACAGGCAAAAGTTTTGGATCGTGATGGTTTTGAGAAATTGGAATGCGTAAAAGGTGATCAATACATTGCGGATATGTCACGTACAAAAGGTCATACAGCCCAATTAATGTCAGGCACATGGCATCCCCATCATAAAGGTGAATTTTTAACCAGTGCCATGGATTCAACGCTTCGCCTTTGGGATGTGACAAATAAAAATCATCATAAAATAATAATAAAGGTGCGAGGACAAGGTGGTTTAAAAACTGTTCCAAATGCATGTGCATTTACACCGGATGCAACGCTCGTTGGTACGGGTTGTGTTGATGGTTCAATTCAAATGTGGGACACACGCAAAACATTTGTGAGTACAACACATTGCATACGACAAGCGCATCAAAAGGGGAGCGAAATCACATCGATTCAATTTTCATATGCGGGCAATAAATTACTATCAAGATCACTTGATGAAACCATGAAAATTTGGGATATGCGTGCATTGAAAGAGCCATTGCATATATTTAACGATTTATACGCACGATACGATACATCCGATTGCTTATTTAGTCCAGACGATCGTCTTGTTGTCACAAATCAATGTCAACCACGTGAGTACAGTGCAGATAATCAGTCACAGTTGGTATTTTATAATGCAAACACATTTGAATTGGTGAATAAAATTGGTGTGGCTGAAGCACACATTATAAAAACATTGTGGCATCCGAAATTGAATCAAATATTTGTCGGCTGTGGTGATGGTACAGTTAAATGCTATTATGATGATAAACGTAGTTTCCGTGGTGCAAAACTTTGTGTTACAAAAACCTATCGCAAGAAAAAACATGCAGAAATCGGAGGATTATCACAAGTTATTACGCCACATGCGTTGCCGATGTTTAGACAAGAGAAATCACGATCATCACGAAAGAAAATGGAAAAAGACCGATTGGATCCGGTTAAATCACGACGACCAGATTTACCAATTACAAGCGGACAAGGTTTGTTTATTTTTGTATTGCTTTTCATTTTTTTTTAAAGCAATGCAGTAATGTTTTCGCTCTGGAAATTCCAACATTTCATTCAATAAGAAAATGATTACATATACGTTGTTAATGTTCAATTTTTATTATTATATTCTTTTCATTCGTAGGCGGTCGAGTCGCTTCATCTGGTGGAACGCTCAGTTCGTATGTCATACGAAATTTGGGTTTGAGTAAACGTGTTGAAGATGATCAAGATCCTCGAGAAGCTATTTTGAAATATGCAAAAGAAGCCGAAGAAGATCCATATTGGATTGCGCCAGCATATAAAAAAACACAACCGAAACCCATTTACACTAATAACGCAGAAGGTGAACCAGATGCGAAAAAGCCGAAACAATCATAAATACTACAGTTCAACTTAAAAAGGATATCTTATTTAAATCTTGATCATAAGTTTTCTATCCATGTTCTGTATCATTTGCTCAATTCATAGAGCTAAAAGAATTTATTTTCTTTCAATTGGCAAAAAAATCACGTTTTTTTTTTGCTTCTTGTCAATGTTTAAGTGATTTTTGAGATAAATATATTGAAAAATTGACATACAAAACATCTGGAAATTTCAATTAAAGTAACAATATCTATTTTGACTTGAAAATCTAAAATTCTTAAGTTAAAAATAAGTCAAGAGCACGATAACATTTAAGCAAATAATAACAGGCTTGAGATAAACTTGTAAAACATGTTGAATGGAAGTTCTATTATAGAACGAAAAAAATGTTGTTAACTCTTTCTAAAGAGAAAATACGGACGTTGCCCAAACGGGATCTTCTTTTCTAAGTTCATGTTCAAAGAATATCTCAATAAATTCAGAATGCATCGTAGTTTACAATTTTCTTTTAAACTGTTTCGCGTCAAACAATTTGAAATCATTCAAATCGATAGAAAAAAAAATATAGTTTTGTTTGCACTGTTCACGTAAACAAACTTGACCGCTTTTTTTTCTTTGTCTTTGCTTTTTTTTCTTGACTGTTGCTTCAGATGATTGCAAAAAATTTCTTTGATAGTCCGTAAAGAACATGTGTTTTAAAAGAAAAAAAAATAATCCAAGGTTTATTTTGAAAAAACAGTAAAAGGCTGTAATTTTCGCCAATCACATTCATTTTTTCACATTCCTTATCAAATACTTCCTCAGCCGTTTTAAAATGCAAAGGGTCAAAAAAGGTCGATAACTTTAATCTGCAAAAGGTCAAAATGTGAATAAAACGATTGATAAATAAGGAATTCCAAAGTTTAGAGCTTTAAAGTGTTTTTTTTTTTTAAATATAAATAGTTCAAATCAATAACAGTAAGTCATAGGGAGGTACATTCGAACGTTTTGCTTAAATTATATAGGAAAGTAAAGCTAGATACAATTATTTGTAAATCACGAATTTTAAAGATATATAATTATAATACGTAATTCGTTTCGGTCATTGTCATTGGGTTTAAAGAAAGAGTTTAAAAACTTCGCTGCGATGGAAACTGTCGTCGTTGTTGTTGTTGTTGTATTAGTTGTTGTTGCTGTTGCATTAGTTGTTGTTGTTGTTGTTGCATTTGTGGTTGAAGATTTTGATTTTGATTTTGATTACGACGTTGGATTAAACTGTCAAGACGTTGTTGCAATAATTGAATTTCCATGTTGAGCTGTTGTTCGGGTGTGATATTGCTTGGATACACAACTTCATGGAATTGAGCATTTGAAATGCCCATAGTGTTTTGTTGTTGCTGATCACCAGATACACCAAAACGGTTAACAAAGTCAGTTGGATTTGTGCTTGGTCTGGTAGCCATTGTACCAATATTGGAAACTGTGGATGGTGGTGGTGTTCCTCGTTGTGCTTCGATCTGTTGTTGGTTCACAATCCAGAACGGTCTTTGTTCGACTGGCAAACTATTCCAGTGATTTACAATATACCCATCACCATATGCATCGTATGGTAAACGTTGAGTTGTACTAGTTGAACCAGATGTGCCTTCTCCCAAACGATTTTCAATGTCATTAACAGCTGTCGTTGGTACATATCGATCTTTGTAGCCAGATCCTCGATTTACTCCTGCATACGGTGATCGTTGTGCATTAACAGTAATCAATATTGATATGAAAATTGCAATTAAGAACGACATGATGGTTCTTCTTTTGTATTTTCTTTGAGATTTATAAAAACACTTTCTGATTTTCAGAATCACTTTCTTATTTCACGATTATTATTTTTTTTACTTCTCCTCGTTTAATGATCACAATACAAGTGGTTTCAACGCCGGAATTGAGATCAACAATGTTTCGAACGATTGTAGTGCTTCAGATCGACTGACTGAATTGGCTACAGTGTTGTGCTATTTATTTAAACAATTTGCGATCACACCAATACACATGAACGCTACATATGCATATTCAGACAGACCTATACCACGTACTTAGTCATTTGTATTGTTGATGATCTTACACTGCAATCTCATCCATAAGGAAACTATATTTTGAAGTGTTTGTTAATCTCCCGTGTGTACTATCTCAACCGTTTTTTTTTTTTCATTTCAAATAGTATTATGTTTCGAATTTAATCTTTTTCTAGGCTATTTTTAAAATTATTTTGAACCTGATCTCACTATCTCAATCATTAAAAGGTTTTACCATTATACATTGACCATTATCATTTGTTTCGCTTGGTCAACTGTTTATACTGTCATACATGGGAAATATGTGTGTGGGATATCTATGAAAAGAGTGTATGTGTGTGCGTAAAGAGAGATGTTTACCAAAAAGCAATTACATGTGTGTCTTTTTTTCCAATGCGTCGTCATCGTCGTCATCAACAGATAATGTCAGAATTTCTTTTTTCAGTTTCCATTCTGCATATGGTCCTATCACTTTGACGACATAAATAAACATTTGAATTAGTCATCAGATGAGTGCCGGGTTTTTGGCGAAATGCATGTAATTGAATTATTCATTGCTATAATTTTGGTTTTTTTTTTCTCTATTTCGATGAATGACACTAAATTATATAAAGCAAAATCTGAATTTGGAATGTGATGCTAAATTATGTGAATCGCGTAAAAAACACATGTCGTCATGAATATGTGAATTCTACTCTAGATTCATTTCTACCAATAAAAAAGTTGGATCAATTTAAACATCTGAAACTCATTTCCATATTCAAAATCAATTTTCAATCTCGCAATGCAAATGAAGTGCATTTTTAAAATCAATATGAAAACAAACGAAAAAAGTCGTGTATCATGTAAAAAACGACGCGCGACATTTAGAAAAAGAGAGAGATATATATATGGAGTGGGAGAGAAAGAGAAAAAAAAGAAAGAGTAAATATAGTGTGAGCACGTTTTGTGGTTTGCCAAAGAAACACGACAAAAACAAAACCCAATAACGATGTATGCGTCGCAGTTGTAAAAGTCTGGAAAAACCCAAAGTTTACGCGCGCCAACGCTTACAATTTAATTGTTAATTTGCTTGTCTGTTGCGATTTTAGTGAGTTGATTATATTGTGTTTCGTTTGCTTTACTCTCTTTTCCAATCTTGTCATGTGTTTATCAATTGTATATTTATTGAATTTCTCATTGATTGTCATTAATTTATTTACATTTTATCATGTTATTGTTGTCACACGAGAATGAGAGGAGTATTTTATTGGATAAATATGCCCACCACAATATAACACAATTTCTACAGAAAAATCGGTTTCGAATTTTGGTTTTGCAAACCAAGCTCGAACACAAATAAATTACTTGTTTACCAGTTCCAGATTAATTAGTTTTAATCCAACTGATGAGAAGACATAATGTCATAAAAGCAAACCATTCATTCTGGTCGTCTTTCTAATAACGAATTCTTTTTTGCCAATAATATACACCATATAATGCCAAATGCAAGTGGAATTAAGTAAAACGATCAAAAAACAAAGTTCGCCATTACTATGAGCTAAATTTATTGCCCAAGCATTGTCTTATTTATGGGTATCATTGTTTACACATGAACAATGTTAGATATTTTTACGATGGGGTTTTCCGATGTTAATTCGCACAACATGGTATGCATCTGTGTATCAGTTGTAAGTGTTAATCTGGAATGATGTAACGGAAATAACTTGAGTGTGATAACTCTCGGTGTTTCGGTACACGAAATGTTACGATGACAAAGCATGATGACTCACAATTTGAAACTAAGGAAATGAAACTGTTACGATCGCATAAAAAAGGATTCATTATTCTGAACCGGCTTTCTTTTAAACAATCATCACGAACAGAGAATTTTTACTTCTTCTCTTTTTTTGAATAATATTCGCATGTGGTACGTATTCAAATTTGAATTTTTCTGTGCAGCATCAGATTTGTTTCTTTTGTAATAGTACTTCCGTATTTTATGTTTAACAAAATAAAAACATATAGAATGATTAGATTTTATAGCAAATCACACATGGTCCATGGCGCATTTAGATTGTGTTATATATTTTAGTTGTATGATATCAATTGATTGGGTAAAAAGTCGACTTGTAATTTGAGTACATAAAAGTGTATCGCAGGGTTTATTGGTTTACAGGGTGCCATTGGAATTCTAAACAAAATAACGCCCACCATTTTTAGAGACTGAAAAACTTTGGTTTGAAAAACAAATCAACACTTTGGAAAAAGCAGTTTAAATATTGCAAAGCGCTTCATCTAGATAAAAATATATGCTTGCTGAGAATGGGACATTTCGATTGTGTGACAACAACAATTTGGATTTCCAACGGATCATATCCAACATCTAAACTACCAAAATAGAACTCTATATTTGCGATAGGACCATTTAAATGTTTTGAAATAGTATTTAGATAAGATAAAAAGATTTTCTTTACATTATTTTGTAGTATTTTGTAAACTTTTCATATGAAAATAGTAAAAATTACGTTTACCCAACACTGCACACAAATTTTTCAAAATTGAAAATTCAAATGAATTGAAAAGAATACCAAAAAATTCGAATGATGTTTGGTTGCAAGAATCTACGCTTACAGTTGGGCATTTTCGGTATCTTATTATTCATCTTATTATCTTATCATTCTAATAAGATCAAACTATATTATTACTCATTACTTTTTTGCACTAATAAGTATAGTAATAAGTATAGTTATTAGAATGTTACTAGTCAGAAGACTAATAAGATGCATGTATCTTATTACTTTTCCGCACACATAGTGTAAGGTGAAAAGTATTGTAATCGGTCAAAATTTTGAAAACCTCAGAAACATGTTTTCTGGACGTTTATGAGGTCAGAGAACCCGAATCAGGCCGTTTTGAGCATGGTTTATGTTAATCTGTACGTCGTACGTTGTACGTCGTACGTTGTACGTCGTACGTTGTACGTCGTACGTTGTACGTCGTACGCAAAATTTGTTAGCAAGATTGCGCTCGTCGTAGAAACTTAATTCAAAATCTGACTTTACAGGATGATTGGGGGTCCCGAGGAATAGAAATCATTAGCTTTTGAGCGACTTTGGTTGATGGAAAAAAATTTCATGCCTGGAGTGATACCTATGAAAAAGACTCAAATTTTCGTCCAAAAGTCATACTTAATGAAGACTTAAACACTTAAAAATATGTATTGAGGGGTTTTTTGGCACGAGAAAACCGAATCCGACGTTAGTTTTGAGATACAATCAATTTTTGATACAGTTTCCTTGAAAAAATCACAAAAAAATTGAATTTTTGTATGGAAGCCATGCCTGTATGCTACCTTAATGACGTGAAACTTTGCACAGACTATTTTTTACACAAAAAAATAACATTCTGAAAGTTTGAAGAGATTTCAATCAAAATTAGGGGTACCTCCAATACAACATTTTCAGTTTTTGGCTCAAAGGCTGAGGTACTCTTAATACCCATACAAAAATCCAAATTTTTTGTGACTTTAGTTATGAAAAGTGTTTCAAAAATAATTTTTATGGCAAAATTAACGTCAGACATATTTTTATAGTGTTTTGTTAGAAAAGAGAATACTTTCAAATGTCGTACAAATGGGTTCATCATGAAAGTGTGAAAAATCTTTTCTCGGGTACTTCTGCTATTAAATTAAAGAATATTTCGTTGCCAAAGTTGAAACATATTTTTTGGTCTCGAACTTTACGCCGCTTGAATTGCTTGAAAAATCGAACTAATGCTATTTTGAACTTTCTTAATAAAATACGCAACTACCACCGTGCGGAAAAGTTCGTCTTACTCCCGTAAGACTCTTTATTAGTATAGTTATTAGTATAGTTTCTCACCAGTATATTTCGATTGGTGTTACAGCCAACTACTTTTACAAATGTAATTCCTGTATAAAATTACTCGAATAATATATGTATATGGAATTACATTTTGGAAGTTCTAGAAACCAGGCCAAATCCTGAAAGTCCACTAATCAGCCAAATTCCACCGGATTTTGATTTTAGGCCAAAAAGTAGTTGGCTGTATGGTGTTCACTTTGTAAACACAAATTTGCTTATTTTTGCCGATTTCCCATTGGAAATTCGAGAAAAATCGACCGGAAGTTTTTTTGTGATTTTGACTGCCTTACTGCTGTTTTTCGTGTTTCAGTAGTATTTGCTTCTAGTAACACCAATCGAAATATACTGATGAGAAACTATACTAATAACTATACTAATAAGATACATGCATCTTATTAGTCTTCTGACTAGTAACATTCTAATAACTATACTTATTACTATACTTATTACACTAATAAGATGACATCTTATTACCAGTTATTAGAAATTATTAGTAATAAGTAATAACTATCTTACTAGTCTGATGTTATTAGTCCCAACTGTATCTACGCTCATTCATCGTTTTAAAAAAAAATCATGCATTCAATCTATAGTGAAGAATTCACGTGAACTTTTGAAAAAACCCCACAAGTTTTCAAGTAAATTGAAAAAAGACCTATTTCAATGTTTTTCTTGTTTAATTTTAAGCAAGGTCTTTTTGTACGTATATTCGAATGCACTCTAGAAAAGCTGTTTAAGCCGACATGTATTTTTTTTTTCATTTTTTATACTATCTGACAGATTGTATCTGTTAATGCATAAAAATGCAAATAAGTTTTTTTTTGTATAAATATCTAAATAAAAATAGATCACGATAGTTAATTAAGTGGTTTCCAGTTGGATTCCATTCACTTTCATCAAGCTTCGCGCGATGAAACGATAACTGACCAAAAATATGATAATTTATTGTATACAAAAATAGACTAAAGATTCAGCGTTTGGGTTTTTTTTAATAATTTATTTCAAGAAATCTAATCAGTGAATAGAGTTCACTACACTGTAAAACGAGAAGATTACATTTAAAATGAGTCTTAATAAGCGAGATATTTATATTTAGCTCATAGATAATGTATGCCGCTTGTGTACTATGAAGGTTGTCTTGTCATTCCTTTAGGTCCGATTTTTTTCGTCGATGTTCTGATTCGTATTGACTGGATTTTCCAAACAAAGTCATCTAATTTCAAAGAATTATTGATACAAACCTTTTTAAAAAATGCAATAACTGGTAAATATTTACTTAAATTTAGCATTCAATTCTATGAATTGTTTTCGTCAGAATATAGAATTATTTGGTTTCATAAGTTGTTATTTATTGTTCGAATTCGATTAAGAAAAAAAAATTCAAAAAATAAAATAAATTTACAAAAACCACTATGATGCAATCTTTGTTCAGACAACAATCATTTTATTTTTTCTCATCGTCAAGAATTTTTTTATTTTGGTGGTTTCCATAAATGTTTGGTAATGAACTTAATGGGTTGGTGGCACACAAATTATTATCTGCTTTTGTATGATGCCACGCTCTATGACTTTTTAGAAAACAATGTCAGACTGTTTTGTTTCACTTCATTCTTAACTGAAATTGTGATTTAAAATGAATTAAAAATTGGCATTTTTTCTAGTTTCAAAACTTTATTTAGTGATAAATTGAAATTGAATTGTTCGGGAAGGCAGATTTACCACATTTATTTTATTTTCTTCTAAATAATGTTTTATATATGTAAGTGAAACGCTTAAAACAAGACGAGATAGAGAGAGAGAGAGATAGAAGAAGAAAAATGAATAAAAAATGACTTAGTAAATAGCTATTTTTTATACATAATATAATACCAACAAAATGTCTACAACTAAAAAGTCTGTACTGTTTGTCATTTGTCAAAAAAAAAAATTAGTTTGTGTAATTTCATGCTTGGATATAAAGCAAGTGTTTAGAGCTTTTCGTTTATCTTCATTTTTCTCTCCTCCAAATTGGAATAAACAATCTAATGCGCATTATTCAAATACTTGAATACCATATACGCGGGAGCGTAGTAATTTTTAATTTAAACTACACACTGCGATTTTGATTTGTATATAATTTATAGATAGCAACCACATTCTTATCATGCACACGGAACCACATTCATACCCATTTTTTATTTTTTTGCTATTTACACATTTTCTATAGAATGCTCAACCGAATAAGAAACGAAACGTCAAAATCTTTACAAAATATTCCATTTTGCAAAACATAAAAAATTCAAACGAATGAACAAAGAAATAAAAAAAAATTATAAACACATTTAAAAACTGACATAAACTGTAAATTAATTCTAAAATTGGAATAGCACATTCGTTTATTGCTGTGTACAATCTCGATAAATATTGATTTTATATAAAACGGTTTGCATGGGATTTCCATTGAGTGGTGATCGACATGGGATCTGAAATTATAGACAATAATTTTAGAATTAAAAAAAAAAATAGATATTACATACTACATTTAATATTTCGTATAAGATGCAAAAAAAAAGAAACTTACCGAATCTGATGGTTGTAGATGGCCTTGAAATTCCATTTGTCTTTCGAAATCACCTAATGTCGGTATATCGACCGGAAAGCTTGCATGAAATGTAATGCCCTTTGTGTCATCGGTGATATTATGACTGTCTGAGTGAAAATGACTCTCTTTGCCGGTGCCTTCTTTCACCGAGCACATTGTCCATTGGATTTGATTTTGGGTTCTGTAACAATTACATCATGAAATTTGTGAGAAAAAAAATCATCAAAACTTGAAATCCAAATCACAAACAGATACATACATAAAAATAAGCTCAAATCGATTTTCTTTCATATATTTTGAGAGCGGAATGTTATAAGTGATGTTAAAATTGCGACAAATCTCGTCCGGTTCAAATGTTATGTTAAATGATTCGCTGCGAATTCGTAAAGAAATGAGAAGACATTCTGAATTGGTTGCATCAATGGGATTGGTACCATAGACGATCGTCGATGCTGTTGTTTGTGACGAAGTTGGATATGGTTCCATAAGATTTCCATTCGTTGATTTTGTCAATTCGACAGCACCTTCGGGTAATTGAACTTTTTCGAATTTATTTTCAAATTTTTTGCTGGGTGACGGTTTTATATCATTATCAGATGGTTTTGATGAGTCCGCTAACGGTTCAATTTCCGGTTGTACATTGGTGTCAAGTAAATCTTTTGATTTATTTTGTTTTTTCGGTACATCAGCATCAGCTCGTTCATTTGATTCAATTTTCTCCGAGATATTTGTTTGCACCGGTGTATTTACGGTTGTTATCGCTGTATCACGTACTTCAATCGGTTCTTCACCATCTTGAATTGCAGTTTGGCTGGCCTTATTTTTGCTATCATTATTTGTTGGATCTTGTGAACTTGAATCGATCTTATCTTTAACCGTTGTTTGTTCAATAAATGTCTGATTGACATTTCCACTTGACATAGTCGATGGTTCGATTGATTCAATCTTTCGATCGATTGGAATCAATTTGGTGGTGGTCTTTTGCAATTTCAATGTGGTGCTTGTCTCGGTATTTTCGACTTTTGGAATCAATAAAATATCGGAAGTTTCTACATTGTCCGACACATGATTTCCTTTTCTAATATCGAGACCGTTGTCCACCACAGCACAGAATGATGGGCACAGCGTTTGCGATGATTCTGATGCAGTTCGATTCAATTTCAATGTTTGATCACAATGCGATGGCTGACCAATTGGATGACGTAAATTTCGTTCACGATGATATTCCGACTCAATTAAATACTCTGCTGAAAATCAACAATTATTTTATGTTTTCTTTAGTTATAACTGAGTGCAAAGGCATATCGTTTTCAAGGGCGCTTATGAACGGTAAGATTAACTTACTTGAATTGAGAATGGTACGATTTTCAACATCGTTGCTTCGACCTTTTGCGACATTTTTATTATCTGGCTTACCTAGAATGTACATTGATTGAATTGAATTTACATATAAAATAAAATTCTTTTTACGCATTCTCAACTAGATTCTCAATCAAAACGAAATCCATCAAATTGAATTTTACATACTGGTGTTATGGGTCTGTTGTCCAACATCAATGATATTATTATTGACATCAGATTCATCGGTAATTATTGTATTGCTTGCTTCGTGCACATGTTCATTTTCCACAATTTTATCCAATTTCGTTTGCACTTTTTCGGTTGTTACAATATTGTCATATTTATTGAGTAACAATTTCGACTGTTTTGCACTGGGAAGATTCATTTCAACTTCTTCTGGTGTTATTTGTAATGGTGTTGTTGTTTTCGATTGAATATCCACGTCGATGGCCATGCTGTCATTCAGTTGACTGGCCAAATGTGAACCAGCATTTGGCGGTGCTAACTCAACTGTCACCAGATCTGGCTGTAGTTGAGTATTGCTGGCATTTTGAGTATTACTGTACTTTGTGAAATTCTATTTCAATTTTTCGTTTTTGAACAAGAAAAATCTCATATTATTGAAGTTGTTACAAACACAATTTCATCATTTTAATAACAAATTTACACTGTACAAAGAAAAATGTGTACCTTTTTCGTAATGTGTCCATGATTATTAATAAGATTACTTTTCTCGAAACTTCCACCTCCGCCTGCCAGGCCATTCACAAAGTAACTAGTATCATTAATACTTAACTTCTCTATGTTGTGATCAAATTGACGTAGCCTCTCGTTTTGTTTACTATGCTCCACGAAATATAATGTGGATATCGCTGCTAAACTGTAAAAACAAAAAAAAAAATGAGATAAATTTTGATAAATTTAAAGATTCTATTCGCAACATTTTCAACAACGAAAATGGCACATTGTTTCAAAAGAATGCTTAAAATGCAGTGAAAACATAACTTACCAAATGGCCATGATAATAACTAAGACAACGATTGTTATTTGGATCATTTTATTTGAACAGGGCTCTGTTGCTTCGTCATCATACTGGCCGAACTTACATTTTGAATGAGAGCAATCTGATTTGTGTTGATCTGAAATGAAAAAACGGCATTGATCACTTAAAATGTTCCGAATTTTCTCGTTGAGTTAATTCCAGTATATTAGCCATTACCAATTTTTCGTACATGAACATTCATACGTTCAAGCTGTTCAATTCGTGTTTCCAATGATCCGGTCACTTTGCACAGTTCTTTTACCGCACCGATATTTTCCATATAGATTCGATCTTTGTTCACCACCAGAAAATTATCGATAACTTCACCGTTGGGCAATAAAACGGAGCCAGCTTCTTGAACGGCATCGGGTAAAACTTCGCGAATTTCTTGCGCAATCACACCCGTATCAATGACTTCAATCACATTCGTCTGTGGTGTTGGTGTTACCGCTGTTGATGAATTAACACGTTCGTTTGTCTTAATGAGTTTTGTTGGTGAGTGAATTGGTGGTGGTGGTGGTGGTTGATTGATTAAGCCATGGTGAGCGGCAAAATCGGGATCGTATCGATACCGAACTACTCGGATTCGTTTCACATTTTGTAATTGCTGTGATGTATCCAATTCATTGATTTCATGTTTTGCTCGACTATCTGACGGATGAACAATGTGTCCCGACACTTTTAGATTGCCATGCACAACAAGACTTTCGTCCGGACGATCTGTGTTTATACCAACACGATTGGCATGTGTAAATATTGAATCCTGAGTAACACCACGTTGCCAACACAATTCGACATCACTTTCAAACTGACCAGGATTCGAGGCCTGAAACGATTTTTTCAACACCATTTATTTTCAAATATTTTTTTTAAAAATATATGAAAAACTTACGCGAACGATAATTTTTTCGCTTCCCTGGCTTACCACCGGAAAGTTACCAGAATGTGTGTGCGCATGAAGACCGACAACCAGCTGAAAATATCGTTGCTCTGGATTTGGACGACCTTTTTTACGCATATTATTATTTGTTGTTTCGGAGAAGTGCAAACGGCCCACAGTTATTTTACTCACTTGTCGACTCTGTAAATCGATACTGAAATAAACGTGATAGAAAACAAAATTAGTCATTTCGTTTCAGTTTTTCTCTTTTTTTTTCGAAAAAGAAATTGAAAAGTCCAACTTACGGCACTGGATGAAATGGTTTCTTTGAACGATCTGATTGACTTTGTTCGATGCGAATTGTTTGTGTTGGTGTTTCCAATTTAACACCATAGAAATGTAAATGAAATGATTTGATTTTTTCAAGGCCACTTTCCGTTCGCACAAATATGGCTGGTGCACCTTGTGCCTGAGCGTGACACGTTATCTGAAAGTGATTCTTCTTTTGGCATACAAATGCATCGTCCGAACTTGAGAAATTAAATCCTTTATCCGCATCGACACGATAATGTGGCAAAGGTCTGCAATTGAATTTTAAAATAAAAAAACAAAATGCTCAAAACGATTCGTTTTCTTGAATAAATAACGGTTCCAAAAAAGAAAGAACAGAAACTATTCACTCACAATTCTTGCAAACTTTGATCGCACAAAACATGCCAATTTTGTTGTTGAAACGGTGAGAAACGGATGCATTGCATTGGAAATGAGTCAGTAGAACCATTATCAAGGCCATTACCATTACCTTGTGATTGTTGTTGCAAGTTTGGTGATGAATTTGAATCAACAATGCTAAAAATTTGTTTTAAACAAAATAACAATTTTTAATAAAAATTGAATTAAATTAATGGTTTTGGTTGTTACCTTGGCATCATAATTGTCGTTGAAGCCGGTGATGTTATGCTTGTGCTACAACTGCTAACATTACTGCATGCATCAACCGATGATTTGGAAGGTGGTGTGGCTGGTTCAATTAATGTGGAAACGCACGCAGGACTAAGCGCATCGGGTTCGGGTTTTATTGGCGGCAATATTACAGATGCTGGTCGTTTGATCGGTATAACATTTCCGACCGATTGCTGTTCATTGCTATTTTCTAAAATACTTTGTGCATTATAATCATTCTGTTGTTGTTGTTGTGCCATGGTGCTCATACATTGAGTTCCTAAAGTCAAACAAAATTTATTCAAATAATAAATACGAATATAATGACCACACTGAATGGCTAAAAATTTGCTCACGTTTGCGTGTGTTTAATAAATGTGGTAGTTCGGCTGAATGAGATGTGGGTACCACTACTGTCGGCATTTGAGATAAAATATGTTGATTGTATGAATTAACATTTGGATGCGATGTAATGGTTTGCTGTTGCTGATGATTATTTTGGGTCTGGTGACAGTTCAAGCCATTTGTAGCCATTTGAAACATTGGGTCGTTCATCAAACAATTAAAATCATCTTCAGTATTTAATGCTAGCAAATTATTGCCATCATTTCGATAAACCTAAACATTGTATAAGTTTCAATTACATATCTTTTTATGGAAATTCAATCACCAGTTTTGGTAAAGTTTTTAAAATGTCGGTTTTCCTTCTCTATTTTTATGGTAGAAATCACTTACATTATTACGTCCCATATTAATTGAATGATGAACTCCTAGACCAAGTAAAGACTGTGTCTGTTGAGAATAAAGAACATTTTTTTTTTGAAAATTATTGATGTCGATGCGCATGGCGTTGAAAATCTTACGTTTTGATGCATCATCATGTCATTGTTGGGCAGCATCATATTTGTAACTGAATTGGATAAAGGCAATGCAGTGGATGATAAAAGCATGTCGCCGGTTTTGTGCATTGAAGATATTTGATTTGTATTACCATTTACAGTGGCACCATTGTGACAATCCACATTGTTTGTATCGTTCACACCGTGCATGGTTTGATCGATTTGATGTGGATTCGCGGATTGAGAACCGTTTGGATAATGATGTTGATGATATGTAATTTGATTCAAATTACTAATTGCATGCAAATCAGTTGGACTGTACGGCGGTTCACTGCCCGAATCTGGCGGACTTTCTGGCAATGTTCCTGCAAGTATAATCACATGATTTTGATCATTTTCTTCTTGATATTTAACGATCATTTGGTCAAAGTACATTTAATTTGAATGAAATAGAAAAATGGTTGATTTGATAATAAAATGTTGAATTTACCATGTGTCGGTGCACTTGCTGCGACAACACTGGACGACGCCGTTGTAATTGTGTGTGCTGGTGTTGTTGTAATGGCAGTAATCGCCAGTGTAATCGCTGATGTGTTACCATTGTTACTAGACGTATTGATTGCTGGCAAATGTACAAACGATTCCAATTGTTCAAAATCAATTGTCTCATTATCTATTCCACCCACAAAATCAGCGCGACCTAAACAAGTACGTATCGCAATCATATACAAAAATGAATTCAATATTTAGTAAGGGAGTAAGTGTGAGAAAATAAATCTAATCATATAAACCAAGTTGGCAAGTGTTTGAATAGATTTAAAGAGAAAAAAAAAATTCTATAACAAACAAAAAAAACTAATTTTATAATTTCTTTTAAGAGAATAAAGCGCGCTTGAAAAACGATTAAACCGTTAATTACACCACATAAACATGCGGTGAACGTTCTCCTATGCACACCACACTTTTGTTATTGGTGGAAGTAATTCTCATTTTTTTTTTCGGAACAATTTACGTTTGCCGATTATATGGTTCGATCATTATGTGGTCGTCATTAGCATGTCATGGTGTTTAGAAGAAGAGAGAACTGCTAAACAATGAAGCGTGAAAAAAGCGTTTGACTGAAATTGTCCACGCATTCATTTCACAGCGCAAATACTAATCAAAGAAGCATAGAATAAGTTTTATAGTTTTTAATTAAGTGTGTGCGTATGTAGAGAATAGAGAGAGAGGAATTGACTTTTCATCGTCACATATTCACATTCACGCTTCGATCCGGGTGTCCGGATCGTGTCCTATTCATTTGGTAACATACACACAAAATATATTAAATATTACCGTGCAAATATCAAAGAGTAGAGTATCGCATGTCGTTGCTAACGATACCAATGTAAATAAAATTCATGTATGCCACGGCAATATATTTCAATAAAGAATAGATACATGAAATAGAATAAAATTTATGAACTGACGGTTTTCCTTTTGTGCCGCCCTCGCTTTCGTTTCCTCCCTTCTTCTAGCTCTCTTTCTCTGCATTACCATCCATGCCAATTTTCGACCAAAAATAAAATAAATATAGAAGAGAATTCACTTGTATTTCGAAAATAAATTGTACCGAATGCCAGCCGGATTTATTGTTTACTCTTTGAACGAATCGCATGGAAATTTTTCATGTTTCCCCTTTACACTTGCTCTCCTTGTCATCGTTCTATCGTTTGTCATCGATCAAACATCATGAATATGTGCATGAGCATGTATTGCATAAACATTTGATCCAAACATTTTTGGAATTTCTCTCTCTCTTTCTCTCTCTCTCTCTCTCTCTCTCTCTTTCTCTCTCTTTCTCTCTCTTTTATTTGAGCCAACATGAAAAAACGAAATCAAGAACTTGAATTTCGGGTTGAAATTTCATTGTTTTTAACAAAAACCGATCGAGAATCAAATCTCACAGCTTAACACCTTATGTTATTATCGACGTTTCTATTATAAATCTTCGGCATTTCTAATTTAGCTTAGATGATGGCGTCGATCATTTGTTTATGATTATAAATGTAAAACAAATAGATTTGTTGTAATTAAGCAGATAATTGGAGCGAAAAAATGCGAGCATGTGCATTGCTCATCAAGCTTGTGAAGATTTGTAGCTGATTTTTGTTTTTCCATCTCTTGAAGAAAACAAAACTGTTTTCGATCGACTAGTGAAATTATATATTAAACCGAAAAAAACATCATAAATAACAAGAGTTACGACTCACATTTAACAAACACGTTTGCCAAAGAGGAGAGAAAAAACACCAAAATCGCTTCTTCTTTATTTTATTTCAGTTTTTTTAATATTCAATCGTTCACGCTAATTGATTTCAAACATGCAATCGATTGTTCGTTGCCTGAATTTTTTTTTCGATGATTTTTTGAAGAAAAATAAGCAAATATGGCATCAATTATTATCTTTATCTTTCAGCTCAGTAAAATAACAGCAATGTTACAAAAGTAACATTGAATTTTCTTTGGCAAAATCCATATTTGCATTTTAGTTGCATTTGGATTTGCAATCGTGCACACTCGATGAATGATGCCTTTCAACAATTATTTCGAATTTGTTCGGAGACACATGCATTTTCTTTGAATTTTTGTTTTTGTTTTAACAAACCAACAAAAATGTGTTTTTGGGCGAAATTAAATTTTGAACAGTTCATTTGTAATTCAGCACACATTTTTATTTGGCAAACCATGAATTTTGGTTGCGAAGTAATGAAAAACGAACTTTTCTTCTTTTAAAAATACAAAATAAACCATTTTCAATGAATTATATCAATTTTGGATTGTTTTTTTTTTTTGGAAAGTAACACATTTGCAATGAATTTCATTCGATTTCGATTTACATTTTTCGATCTTAAATCATTCGATTTTCAGCTCAGCATCTAAGATAAAAGATGCTTCTGGATTCATAAGCGCTGATGATATCAGCTGACGACAAGCCCTGATGAAGATTATTCCCATCAATTTCGTTGATATCAACGGTTGGCGTTTTTGATTCTTTAATAATAATTTTGTGTTTTTGGTTTTAATTAGTTTACATGATTTGGGGTCATTTGGAGTTCCACTTTCAGTGAAAAAGATTTTCAGTCTAATTGTTTTATGTTGTTAGAAGAAGCTAAATTTTTCGAGCGAGGAATTAATCACAGAGGAATGATACACGCGTTCATTAGCAAAGTGTGAATTAATTGTCGAATGATTACTTCCAACCTTACGATATGGTGTTTGTGTTGGATTGTTTCCGAGAAAAGGTGCACAAATCAAAGCTAATCGCTCTATACTATGGCATATCTATAACGTGGGTTCGGTGTGTTTCGATTCGGCGCTGTGCTTTCGTGTTTTACAAAATTCAATATTCACATGATTGAGTTTGATTGGTGTAAAGATTCTCTTGTTCGTTACATTCTAGTTATTCTGTTTGGGGTGTAATGCTTCTGCGAAATTATTGGCAACATTGAAAATCGACAGTTAGCAAAGATTGTACATTTCGATCTGCGTGCGCTTATAAAAAATCTGTTTGTTGAAGCTATTGTTCTGATGTTTATGTGTAAATAATATTGTTCATTTTGACGTTTGTATAATACTTGATCGTATATTTTCTATTTCATTCCTTTTTCTTCAATACTATTTTCTTCGTTTTTCTTTCTCGTTTCATTTTCATTCGACTTTGGCTTAGTTTTTTTTTCTTCTCTCGTGTGTTCCTTTTATCTTTGATATGTGCAAGACGGTTTGTTGTTTGGCAATGCAATTTTAGTTCACGCATCATTATCACTTTCCATTTCTTTCACAGGTCTGAGCGCATCTATTATATCATTTTTTTCTTCTTCTTTTTTCATTGAGTATTTTTTCCACGCGCGTGCATCGCATATACGATCAATTGTTTTGATGTGGCGCACATCTTCATTTGTTTTGTGTTTTTTTTTGCTTCTCTCACTCAACTGTTTGATGTTCGATGCGCTTACGGTTATGCTTAGACGATCAATTAATTTATTGGAAACATACTGTTAAAAGTGAGATGAACATCAAATCATGGACTCAACAGTGCGTGAAATATTCGTGAAAGGGAAAACAATTTACATAGGCACACGAACGGACAAAAATTGGAAATCATGCTACATGGAGTGAAAAGTCCGTAAACTGACACAGATCATGCAACACAAATGCAAAATCCTTTCCATTATAAGAAAGACCTTCCTTCAAAAGATTACTGACAAAATTTCACCTGAATCTGTTCACAAACTCAGAAACCATAGGCTTTTTAAAGAGACCTTAAAATATGCTACATTTTATGACTGTATTTAAAAAACAAAAAAAAAAACAAGCACTTAGAACAATTTATTATATTATCAATTTTGGATTTCAAATCAAAATGAGATCAACTGTGATTTCAAATCAAATATCATTTAATTTGATGATTCACCTAATCTTGTTGCCAAAATCAAATCAAGTGCTTTATTTTATCTGAACTGTACTTCTCAAATCAATGATTTGTTAAATATTTTGTTGATTTGGACCAACTCAAATCTAATTATACAATGAAAAATGCAAGAAATTTTGATGCCAAAAATGTATTTGAATTTATTTAAGTTCTTTTAAATCATTTGATCTCAAATCGTATAGACTATTAAGGTTATCTATTCTTTCAACTCAAAGGACAGATAAAAGTCCCGTCAAGCTGCTTTGCGAAAAAGCGATTTGTCATCTAGCGTATCCAATAGTGGTATCGCCTTTAAATCACCACTGGATTCGATTTTGAACAAATGCGACAGCCTTTGTATGAGTGACATTTTCCTACCCTAACTAAAACACATTTTACGAGATACTTCAGGTCTTTTCCAAACTATTAATGCGAATATAATGGTCTTTCGAGGCGATTTCTTATATTTTTTGACCATTTCTTCAAAATTTTGCCATTTTTTATAGCTCCAAGTATTTTGAGGGATGGTCCTTCTTATAATGGGAATGATTGTGCACTTGTGCCAAATATCTGTGTCATTCCACGGACTTTTCAATTCATGTAGTACATAGCCAGCTACACTCGTCGCGCATACACAGTAACTAAGTTTTCGTGGAATTGTGTAATGAATCGATTACACTTTGATAAACTTCGGACATTCCAAATTTAAAAATTGAACCGAATCCATCATTCAGAAGAAAATATTGTCACATTTAATTTGAAACATCTATTAAATCGAATGATCAGTTTTTTTTTTCAAGAATAATCACAATATATCTTCAGTTTTCTATCAGTAATTCATGATTAAAATTGAAAAATCGCAAATTTATGAATGCAAAAAAGATGACAGTACGTAATTTGTGTTGGATATTTAAAAAAAAATCCCATCAGCAGAGAGCCAATTTTGAATTTGAAAAATAGCTTCGACTGTGTTGCTTGCCTTGGTCACAAGTTATGTAACTACGTGAACCACGTATAATTTTGGGGTAAATGGAATCGTGGACTTTACTGTTTCCAACATTTTGAATGATTCACGATAAAGAATAACTTTTTTTGGTATAATTGTTGCTTATTTTCATCTCCCTGATTCTTCCTAAAAAAAGTCTTTCATTTAAAAAATTAAAAAAAAAATTATTTACCTAATGATCGACCATAATCCATGATATTTATAAAAAATAGTATCAATTCACTTTGATTAATTGTGTGATTCAATCTATTGTTTCGATATTTGAGTGAAAACTAAATGAAAACAACAGAAAACTGTACACTTCCTCGTTTTCCACGCAGATGGTATATTTATGTCGTCGAAAATAAAAATCACTGATCGATTAACTCACAATGTATTGGGTCATTATCCAATGATTTTCATATTTATTTTCTATTTTACTTTAACTGGAAATTATCCAACTATAATTGAGCACAAAATTGAACTAGAATTACTGATCGAATAATTTCAGTCACAAAAAATTGCACCTATTTTATTGTTTAATCTGTTGTTAGTTCACTGAACATAGCATAAATTGAATGGATCAGTTGAATGTCTTTTATGTATTTACTTTTTTCAAAAAATCAGAACAATATTTATCGATGTAAAGTTGATCGCCGAAAACTGAACCGAAGAAAAAAGATTTCAAATGAAGAAGCAACAACGGTTATGATAATGCTACAAATATCGTGCGCGCACGAGAACTGAATTACATTTCTTGTGTTGCTTCTTTTTTTCTTCTTCTCACATTCAAGGTAGATTATTTGTTGTTGTCGGTATATATATGTATGTGTGTGTGTGTTAGTGTGGTGTTCGATTAATACCTTGCTGCGCAATGGTTGGCCAAGGTGTATTTGCTCGATTTGCCTAAATACAGTGCGTGGAGGGGTGAAAGATGTATGCTTGATGAAAGACTGAAAACTATCTGTCGCTCTTAAACAAAATATATGCTAAATTACCCTAGCGCGCAATTTTTTTTATAGCCCAAACTGTCGCTGTCTGTTAAAATCCTCCCAACCCTACCGTTCAACCCTTTTCTATGTTGAATTGTGTTTTTAAACCAGCCATATATGACGGCCTAAGAAGAAAACAATAACATACAGAATATTCTG